GACCTAAAAATCCCAAAAAATTCATAAACAATAATTCAGACCCATAAAGAACGAATTTGATGTCAGATACGAGAAAGAACCCTTCCTCTAGATTTTCAAAATCAGCGGTTCACGCGATGCAGTAGGCTTATACTGGTCGAAAAATATTTTTTTCCAGATCGACCTAAAAATCCCAAAAAATTCATAGACACTTATTCAGACCCATAAAGAACGAATTTGATGTCGGATTCGAGAAAGAACCCTTCCTCTAGATTTTCAAAATCAGCGGTTCACGCGATGCAGTAGGCTTATACTGGTCGAAAAATATTTTTTTCCAGATCGACCTAAAAATCCCAAAAAATTCATAGACACTAATTCAGACCCATAAAGAACGAATTTGATGTCGGATTCGAGAAAGAACCCTTCCTCTAGATTTTCAAAATCAGCGGTTCACGCGATGCAGTAGGCTTATACTGGTCGAAAAATATTTTTTTCCAGATCGACCTAAAAATCTCAAAAAGTTCATAGACACTAATTCAGACCCATAAAGAACGAATTTGATGTCAGATTCGAGAAAGAACCCTTCCTCTAGATTTTTAAAATCAGCGGTTCACGCGATGCAGTAGGCTTATACTGGTCGAAAAATATTTTTTTCCAGATCGACCTAAAAATCCCAAAAAATTCATAGACACTTATTCAGACCCATAAAGAACGAATTTGATGTCGGATTCGAGAAAGAACCCTTCCTCTAGATTTTCAAAATCAGCAGTTCACGCGATGCAGCAGGCTTATACTGGTCGAAAAATATTTTTTTCCAGATCGACCTAAAAATCCCAAAAAATTCATAGACACTAATTCAGACCCATAAAGAACGAATTTGATGTCAGATTCGAGAAAGAACCCTTCCTCCAGATTTTCAAAATCAGCGGTTCACGCGATTCAGTAGACATACTGGTCGAAAAATATTGTTTTCCTGTATGACCTAAAAATCCCAAAAAATTCATAGACAATAATTCAGACCCATAAAGAACGAATTATATGTCAGATTCGAGAAAGAACCCTTCCTCCAGATTTTCAAAATCAGCGGTTCACGCGATTCAGTAGGCATACTGGTCGAAAAATATTTTTTTCCAGATCGACCTAAAAATCCCAAAAAATTCATAGACACTAATTCAGACCCATAAATAACGAATTTGATGTCAGATTCGAGAAAGAACCCTTCCTCTAGATTTTCAAAATCAGCGGTTCACGCGATGCAGTAGGCTTATACTGGTCGAAAAATATTTTTTTCCAGATCGACCTAAAAATCCCAAAAAATTCATAGACACTAATTCAGACCCATAAAGAACGAATTTGATGTCAGATTCGAGAAAGAACCCTTCCTCTAGATTTTCAAGATCAGCGGTTCACGCGATGCAGTAGGCTTATACTGGTCGAAAAATATTTTTTTCCAGATCGACCTAAAAATCCCAAAAAATTCATAGACACTTATTCAGACCCATAAAGAACGAATTCGATGTCAGATACGAGAAAGAACCCTTCCTCTAGATTTTCAAAATCAGCGGTTCACGCGATGCAGTAGGCTTATACTGGTCGAAAAATATTTTTTCCAGATCGACCTAAAAATCCCAAAAAATTCATAGACACTAATTCAGACCCATAAAGAACGAATTTGATGTCAGATTCGAGAAAGAACCCTTCCTCTAGATTTTCAAAATCAGCGGTTCACGCGATGCAGTAGGCTTATACTGGTCGAAAAATATTTTTTTCCAGATCGACCTAAAACTCCCAAAAAATTCATAGACACTTATTCAGACCCATAAAGAACGAATTTGATGTCGGATTCGAGAAAGAACCCTTCCTCTAGATTTTCAAAATCAGCGGTTCACGCGATGCAGTAGGCTTATACTGGTCGAAAAATATTTTTTTCCAGATCGACCTAAAAATCCCAAAAAAATTCATAGACACTAATTCAGACCCATAAAGAACGAATTTGATGTCAGATTCGAGAAAGAACCCTTCCTCTAGATTTTCAAAATCAGCGGTTCACGCGATGCAGTAGGCTTATACTGGTCGAAAAATATTTTTTTCCAGATCGACCTAAAAATCCCAAAAAATTCATAGACACTAATTCAGACCCATAAAGAACGAATTTGATGTCAGATTCGAGAAAGAACCCTTCCTCCAGATTTTCAAAATCAGCGGTTCACGCGATTCAGTAGACATACTGGTCGAAAAATATTTTTTTCCTGATCGACCTAAGAATCCCAAAAAATTCATAGACAATAATTCAGACCCATAAAGAACGAATTTGATGTCAGATTTGAGAAAGAACCCTTCCCCTAGATTTTCAAAATCAGCGGTTCACGCGATGCAGTAGGCTTATACTGGTCGAAAAATATTTTTTTCCAGATCGACCTAAAAATCCCAAAAAATTCATAGACACCAATTCAGACCCATAATGGACGAATTTGATGTCAGATACGAGAAAGAACCCTTCCTCTAGATTTTCAAAATCAGCGGTTCACGCGATGCAGTAGGCTTATACTGGTCGAAAAATATTTTTTTCCAGATCGACCTAAAAATCCCAAAAAATTCATAGACAATAATTCAGACCCATAAAGAACGAATTTGATGTCAGATTCGAGAAAGAACCCTTCCTCCAGATTTTCAAAATCAGCCGTTCACGCGATTCAGTAGGCATACTGGTCGAAAAATATTTTTTTCCAGATCGACCTAAAAATCCCAAAAAATTCATAGACACTAATTCAGACCCATAAATAACGAATTTGATTTCGGATTCGAGAAAGAACCCTTCCTCTAGATTTTCAAAATCAGCGGTTCACGCGATGCAGTAGGCTTATACTGGTCGAAAAATATTTTTTTCCAGATCGACCTAAAAATCCCGAAAAATTCATAGACACTAATTCAGACCCATAAAGAACGAATTTGATGTCAGATTCGAGAAAGAACCCTTCCTCTAGATTTTCAAAATCAGCGGTTCACGCGATGCAGTAGGCTTATACTGGTCGAAAAATATTTTTTTCCAGATCGACCTAAAAATCCCAAAAAATTCATAGACACTTATTCAGACCCATAAAGAACGAATTTGATGTCAGATACGAGAAAGAACCCTTCCTCTAGATTTTCAAAATCAGCGGTTCACGCGATGCAGTAGGCTTATACTGGTCGAAAAATATTTTTTTCCAGATCGACCTAAAAATCCCAAAAAATTCATAGACACTAATTCAGACCCATAAAGAACGAATTTGATGTCAGATTCGAGAAAGAACCCTTCCTCCAGATTTTCAAAATCAGCGGTTCACGCGATTCAGTAGACATACTGGTCGAAAAATATTGTTTTCCTGTATGACCTGAAAATCCCAAAAAATTCATAGACACTAATTCAGACCCATAAAGAACGAATTTGATGTCAGATTCGAGAGAGAACCCTTCCTCCAGATTTTCAAAATCAGCGATTCACGCGATTCAGTAGGCATACTGGTCGAAAAATATTTTTTTCCAGATCGACCTAAAAATCCCAAAAAATTCATAGACACTAATTCAGACCCATAAAGAACGAATTTGATGTCGGATTCGAGAAAGAACCCTTCCTCTAGATTTTCAAAATCAGCGGTTCACGCGATGCAGTAGGCTTATACTGGTCGAAAAATATTTTTTTCCAGATCGACCTAAAAATCCCAAAAAATTCATAGACACTAATTCAGTTCCATAAAGAACGAATTTGATGTCAGATTCGAGAAAGAACCCTTCCTCTAGATTTTCAAAATCAGCGGTTCACGCGATGCAGTAGGCTTATACTGGTCGAAAAATATTTTTTTCCAGATCGACCTAAAAATCCCAAAAAATTCATAGACACTTATTCAGACCCATAAAGAACGAATTTGATGTCAGATACGAGAAAGAACCCTTCCTCTAGATTTTCAAAATCAGCGGTTCACGCGATGCAGTAGGCTTATACTGGTCGAAAAATATTTTTTTCCAGATCGACCTAAAAATCCCAAAAAATTCATAGACACTAATTCAGTTCCATAAAGAACGAATTTGATGTCAGATTCGAGAAAGAACCCTTCCTCTAGATTTTCAAAATCAGCGGTTCACGCGATGCAGTAGGCTTATACTGGTCGAAAAATATTTTTTTCCAGATCGACCTAAAAATCCCAAAAAATTCATAGACACTTATTCAGACCCATAAAGAACGAATTTGATGTCAGATTCGAGAAAGAACCCTTCCTCTAGATTTTCAAAATCAGCGGTTCACGCGATGCAGTAGGCTTATACTGGTCGAAAAATAATTTTCTCCTGATCGACCTAAAAATCCCAAAAAATTCATAGACAATAATTCAGACCCATAAATAACGAATTTGATGTCAGATTTGAGAAAGAACCCTTCCCCTAGATTTTCAAAATCAGCGGTTCACGCGATGCAGTAGGCTTATACTGGTCGAAAAATATTTTTTTCCTGATCGACCTAAGAATCCCAAAAAATTCATAGACACTAATTCAGTCCCATAAAGAACGAATTTGATGTCAGATTCGAGAAAGAACCCTTCCTCTAGATTTTCAAAATCAGCGGTTCACGCGATGCAGTAGGCTTATACTGGTCGAAAAATATTTTTTTTCGGATTGACCTTAAAATCCCCAAAAATTCATAGACACTAATTCAGACCCACAAAGAACGAATCTGATGTCACGTCATCTCTGTATCTATACCAATACAAGTATTGTTTTATCAATGAATGTTTATGTATTATTCGCTCCAAGTTATCCATGAAAATTTCAGCAAGTAAAGGGCTCAGTGGATTTCCCATAAACAACCCTTTTGACGCGGAATATATTTGGTTGTCAAATTGAAAGTAATTTTGTTTGATACATATCGACAGAAGGTCTAAAATCTCTTTGGTTTGGTAATCGGATTAACATGGTTTTTATCTAATAACTCCTCAACTAAAATTACAGTATCTTGTTTGTTGTTGTTATTATTTGTTTGTTTGTTTCAGGATCTGAGTGGGGGCAATAGTAATGACAGTTCTGGGGGACCCGCACCTGGCACACCAAATTCGCAGGGCATGAGGCCGACTCCATCTCCTACAGGATCTACAGGTTCTCGATCCATGTCACCAGCAGTAGGTCAGTGATGTATTTGAGTTTTTTATTCGATTTTGTTTGTCACCAGAGAAATATAAACAGTAGGCCCTGCTCTTCCCAATCCCAATCACTCTTCTCGAAGAAAATGAACGACGTCAGGATTGTTATGAAATTTGTGCGAATCAATTTCCTGTGATCCAATAAATCTCTGTATTTGACATGATATAATGGGAAACTTCTTGTGTTATTGTTTTTCGTGGAAAAATAAATAAAATCGCGAATGATATACAGTACACAGAAAATTGTTCCATTGGCAGTGCATGGTGGAGTTCGTTTTGTTGATAATTTGCAGAACTGTTGAAATATTCGCAAACTTCTTGTGTTATTATTTTTCGTGGAAAAATAAATTAAATCGCGAATGATACACAGTACACGCAGTGCATGGTGAAGTTCGTTTTGATGATGATTTGCAGAACTGTTGAAATATTCGCTCTTTTTCAAATTCCAAATTGCAATAAATCGTCAAGATTAATTGTTTCAGTGGAGAACTATACAAATTATATATGCTAGATCAGTAATTTTTGAGGAAGCTGTTTCTTTGTGAAATTTAACAACAAAATAGAAATTCCCAAGATTACAATTTTTACTGTGTAGATAGTATGAGGATATTGTCTAGTAGAATCAAGATAGGTGATTAATTTTTCTTAGGTTATCAGTTGAATATATTCAGTGAAACGGTACCATTTTAATCAAATTCAGATATAGACCTTATCAAATATACATTACTGAAATGAAACAATGAGTCATCGAGGTATTATTTATATCGTTACAATATTCAAAATCAATTAGAGAATTTTTGTAAAGCTCAATATTGTTGAAATGTATCCATTCAATCTATATCCTGTCGAATTTATAAGATTCAATGGGAATTGAATAGTAGGAAGAAATTAATGTGGAAAAGTCCAGCTAATTGTTTCATTTTAATCATTTCCAGTCCAATTTCGCCAAAGCTGAATCACAATTACCTACTATAAGTTTTATTTCAATGAACTCGCTGCAATATTTATGAACGATTGAGAATAACTATCTGTAAAGTGAATTAATGCATTATACATTCTTGTCTCTCGCAATTCCCGATAGTAATGAGTTATTTCTATCAACAAAGAACTAAAAGTAAATATGTACTAAATTAGTTGATTCATTCATAGACGACACCGTGCCAGAATATATCGATTTATCGACAATTGAAAATGAACAGTGTGGAGACTTCACTGGAATAAATTCGCTCAGGTGAATGATTTTTCTAAAAATAACTGAGACACGTCAACGTTTTTATGTATTCACCTGGTACATTCTGCAATCAATATGAATATAATCCTTCAGGGGTAGCTGAAATCAGCCCCAACATGTTTTTTTTTTCAAATACATCCCTATGGCCTGTGACCCCTCATTGGAAAGCTGGTTGAAATGGGAATCCAACGTACTGATAAAAACGTTTCGATTTTTAGTGACAGCGATATAATGCATTCTCACCAGTTTGCAATAACACCTTGTTTCGAACTGTGAATACGGCATAAAAACTTATTTTTTCTCAATCGGCTCAAAAGTCGTCCATTTTTGTTCCAAAATTAGCATTTGAAGTTGACGTTTCTCTTACTGACCCAATAAAATGATTAGTTTGTATGTTGCTTGGCATTACTTTTAGTGTCAAGGAGCTAAAGTTGAAGTTTAACTCCTAGGAACCAAAAATGTGTCGGATGACAGCTGATATGATAGCTGCTTTGACACTGACATGCTCAATTGACTCAAAATAGACTTATACTTTATTAATTACATATAAATTATTCCGATTGCAGAAAAACAAGAATGTTTCATTCGGATCAAAACTGACTCTGTTTGACTCACAAAATTTTCGTGCTCGGCTTGTGTGTGTCACAATTGATCCTAATAAAACAATGCACTATTATTATTGTGACTCTATAAAAACACTGGCATACAATAGGAGAATATACAGTAGTTGTGGCAAAAAATTGCCATCAATTGTTCAACACACAATTTGAGCAATTGTTTCGTTAAAAGTAAATTTATAATTTTAAATTTCAATTTCATGTAACTCTCGAACTTACACAAAACTTAAATTTGACCAGTATGCTGGATTTCTTTTTCCACCAGCTATCCAATGAGGTGTCGCAAGTCATAAGGTTGCATTTGAAAAAAAAATCATGTAGAGGGTAGTTTCAGCTACGCCTGAAAATTCTCGATATTGCTGCTAGCGAATGCCGAGTCGAATTCATTCCAGTTAAAGTCTTCACCCTCAACTGTGTGGTTCATAAAGTCGGCATCAAATGGGAAAAACTTCAAATAATAATTTATTTCGAAATTCGACTTGAGTGTTATATTTTGCTTAAAAAAATATGAAATATGGATTACTCGGTCGGGTCGATGAAAATAGGGTTATTTGTTTGAATTTCAAAAAAGTTTACTGAGGAAAGTTGTTTTTATTCCAATTTGACAATTTTCTCGAATTTGAGCATTACAAGTTTTAGTTTTTGATAATTTTTCACTTTCTACGAAGTTTGTAATACTGATTAAATTAACACCGACAAAACTATTTCATTCTAGTAGTTTTATTATATTACTAACTTTCAATCACTAATTATCGACATAAATATGATTTTCTTCAGAAAATAGTGATCCCTGCTTCACATTTCTGTTGTTAGATCAAGGAGGGAAATTTCATCCAAATAGAATTTTCCAGTACTAAAATGATGCCAAAGCCATCTATCAAAATATCTTCAAACTATTTAACGTTTCTGTCCAAAGTTTAGGACAGTTTTGTCGAAGTTACAATTATTAGAAATTGAAAATTATCCAGAAAATTATCAAGAACTGAAAGTTGCAATAGACCGTTCAAATTCGAGACATGTGTAAAATTGGAATAGAAACAACTATTCTCAGTTAACTTTCCACTAACTTACTAACCAGTAAGTCAATTTCCATCCATTAATTTGAAAAAATTTAACATTTGACCTGTAGCAAAAGTCATCTTTTGCGAAGGAAAACCTAACGTCCAAGGTGAATTTGGAAATTAATTATTATCAACAGTTGTTCCCATATGATGCCAACTTTATGAATGACCCTGTATAAGCTCATCCACGTTGTGAACGCCAAGAGCCGAAACACTCATCCATCCTCGTTCCAGGCCAAAACATTCCCATGCCGCCGAGGCCGTCCAGCGGCCAGTCCGACGGCAACGGCCCCGGCCGCCTCAGCCACTCGCCCATGGTCGCCCAGGGCGGCTACCCCGCCCCGCATCCCGCCCACGGCTACAAGCCGCACCCGAGCCTAGGCGCGGGCGGTGCGGGCGGGCCGGCCGGGCAGCAGCTGCCGCTCTACCAGCCCGGCCAGTACGCGCCGCGGCCGCCCCCCTCCGGCGTCCAGTATCTCGGCCAGTACGGACCGCAGGCGCCGCCGCAGGCTCCGCCGCCGCAGCAGTTCGCCAGAGGCGGGGCGGCCAATCATATGCAGAACTCGCAGTTCCCGCCCTACCAGCAGGTACGGTTACTTTGTATATTGATGAAATGAACCTCTGGTGCGCTCACTCTTCATTTGTTTGGTCAGACTGGTTCTTGATATAAACAATTGAATTTCAGACGATGACGTGGGGTTCACATATCGAATGTTAGATGGCGTGATTCTTAGAACTTATGATCAACATCAGTTCTACCAACCTTGATGCGGCTAACGCAAAATGTATTCCCTATCTTCATTGGTCACAATTGTCACATTGATGCCTGTAAATTTGGTACGGCACCAGACTAAATTTAGCGACATTCGCCCACGCCATGTTATGTTCATCGAAGTAGGCGAAAATCAAGGAATTGTAAAACAGGAAAGGATTGAAGTGCGTACACCAGAGGTTTATTGAGGTTTATTTCATCAATCTTTGTATTATTGTTATGTCATTATAAATCAATCCAAATGAGGTAGAGTTTTTTGAAGTTTCCAGAGCTGCCTAAAAAACAAAAACAATCTGGTAAACAATGGGAAAGACCACTGAGGTAAGAAATCCGTGCAAACCTCTTTCAATCGACGAATCATGATTTGATTGATGAAGTTGAAGTTGAAGGAAATCAAATCTATATCGTTTTGAAATCAGCATATTTCATTCGTTATTTCGAGTAGGCAAATATGATGGTGGAGCTGTGACGTATTAGTCCCGCACTGTAGCTATCTCTCTCTGATACCACGTCATTCTGCAGTGTTGCAGTGTGATTGGTGAGTTCAAGGACAATAGGCGTGTTGGGACTAAGACGTCGCACCAGTCTCACCAATGAATTGACAAAATTTCAAATGGCGCAGGAATTGTGTGTTTTGAAATGGACATATTCTAATTTATTTTTTTCATCGTCTTCGCATGAATGAAAAAATTCAAAATTAATTCACTGGTACTTTTTCAGTATAGAGTTCACGATAATGTCGTTTCAAAAAATCAGTGGTCTCCCTTATTATAATAAAGGGGAATTCAATTCGTAATTTGTTGGAACCTCCGAACGGATATCGGAGGTTAGAACCCTATGTCCCAAGGTTAGTCTATGTCCTATGTAAATATGAATATTCTTCCTGTCTGCCCTGCGATGGGATGAGTTAATTCTCGCGGTGGTGATTTAGTTTTCAATACTCTTTTATCCATTTTGTTATTGGCCATCACGTTCACATTATGGATATCTGGTATAATTACCAAGGTGATCTAACCAAATTCAGACCAAATTTAGTTTACACGTGTTCACACCATATATCTTCAGTTTATTTACTAATATCACCAACTTTGTTTTGATCTGATTATTATTTTGAAGTTAGGTTGTGGAACTCTACTTGAATAAGTAAATAATGAATCATTATGGATAAATCCTTTTAGCAAGATTCAAAATTGAATGTAATATTGTTTTGAAGAATGATAAAACTCAACTCACTTGCACTCAACTGAGTACAATGCTATACAAAAGTAGACCAAAAAGACCCTCTTGGAAACAAATAGCAAACCAACCTGCTAATCATACACCACACTGACCAAAAGTATTTCGTTAAAATATAGTCGTTAGACAGCTAACCAAGACACGGTATAAACGTTGCCAATGTTACCTAATGATGCACACATTTATTGACCCCAACGTGAGTTATGTATTGCTTTTTTTTCCTAAATATTGGATATTGGACCTAGATCGTCCCCCAGGGATGAATCTTAATTACGCCACTGGGTTTTTTGTTCTTGGCCGGCTTGACCGTTTGTGTCATATGACTAATCAAAATGAAATTACGAATGTTGGTCGAATGTTGGTCGCTTGTATACAAAAACCTTTAAAACCGTAAACTTCACTGATCAATTGATAATATTCCTAAAGTAATAGTAGGGGAGCCAGTAGCAGATTCTTGCGACCAATATCATCTCAGTTTTTTTTCTCATTTTGAATAGGGTATACGCGTGTGAAAATTTTACACTGGAATATATTTTTGTTCCATTACTCATGTGTATAAATGTCGAATTATACATCCGAAAAACATTATTAAGCACCGAATATTCAATGATTTCTGATTGAAAATCATAATATTTGCAACTTTCCGACCAACAGCCGAACTGCAGCGATGATTTCCAACTGGATGTGGCTGTTTTTATTTGTCATGTCAAACATTCATGGGAAAATATAGAAGAAGAATACCATGGCTGCATGTTCATGTCCGAAAGATTGAAAATAATATAAGAGAAAGTGAGGTTATGATTATCTGAGCTTGTAGTTTCTACAAAGTATCTCAATTATATTATATATTCTGAATAATAATAACTGAATAATAAGCAAATATCTACAATAAGAAGGATCAAACAGGACTTCTTTTTGTTGTTTCAAATATATATTACTACCTATCAATTTATATCTCATATAGTTTTCCATATCTTCTTCAAGCTGAAAACGAAATCACATATTATATTATTCTCCTAATAACATGAGGAACATAATCATTGATATATAATGGGTTTCACTAGGACATACTTGAACGTATACTCACTTCGAAAAGGTCTTCACAAACAAATCCTCTGGTTTTCTCGGATAAATCATTTCTACTTATGGCTTGCAACCATCATTTTCTTTTCTCTTTATTTTTATCACTCGATCCCACTGGCAATGGAAGGAATATTTTTCCTGGCGATACTTTTGTTGATGAAAGGCATTGCGGCACTAGGCAGTATTTGGTATAAACATTATCATTTTCCATTTTCAAATTTCAAATTTCGGGCGTTTGAAACTGCTTTCTTCTCCTACCTCTTCTTCTTCTTTTTTTTTTCAATCTGAATCTTGTCATTCTGTCGCGCTAGTCTATGGCTGTGCGGCCTAATACTATGACGTCATAATATTAGTGATGGCCACTAACCCGTTTTCCTGTGACTTCATATTTAGCCTCATTTAAATGAAATTTTTTAGAGTCACAAGCAAATTTGAGATTAATGAATGATATCCAATGTTATTATAAGGAAGAAGGAATATAATTTCGATTAAACAAAAAATCATGCGTATTCCTTATTGACTCGGCCGTTACTTGATGGAAATCCATGGCAAATGTAAAAACTTCACAGACGATAAGATTTCCACAAAATTCTCAAACACACGACATGTTTCGCTAACACAGTAGCTTCGTCAGGTGATATACTGGTATATACTGGTACTATGAACTTAGTTCGTCAGGTGATATACTGGTATGTACTGGTATATACTGGTATATACTGGTATATACTGGTATATACTGGTATATACTGGTATATACTGGTATATACTGGTATATACTGGTATATACTGGTATATACTGGTATGGTTTATGCAAAGTCAGTTGAACAGATCATCAAACGAATGTCGGGCCGCGCTGCCGCACTCTTTGTACTTTCAAAGGAACCGACGGCTTGCGGTGATGTGTTTTTCCATCTGACTTTGCATAAACTATACTATGAACTTAGTTCATTGTACCAGTATATCACCTGACGAAGCTACTCTGTTAGCGAAACACGTCGTGTGTTTGAGAAATTTGCTTAAGCAATTTGATCAACTCAATGCCACGGCGGTTGAATAATTGAGAAACGGGAAGGCAATGAGTGATATCAATGTTCTGATGTTGTTAATCAATGAGTTCATGTAGCTTTTAAAAAGAAGATATTGTCGTGAATCAGAAACCATTGTGTTGAGAAGAGATCACGCTTCAATCCAAAACATGATAAATCTAAGTTGAATCACTCACTTTTGCCACAGGACTTTGAGAAGTCGAGCGTAAAATAATAACTTTTTTTTGCTCTGTATAATGATCAACCCATCAGCTTCTTTTGGAAACAAGAATTCAGGTTAATTTTAAGAAACGTGAATCTATGATTTGGTAGGAATTTCAGGAAAATTAGGGCGACCAATTTTGATCATTTTTTTGATCGCCGGTTTTTTTGCCGGTTGAGTGTATCATATTGTTGGCTCTGTTTGCGTGGTTATTTTCGAGGAAAAACGGCTTATTAATCCGCTCGCTCTGCCAGCAGGGATGGCAGCCCGCGATGGCCGGCGCAGGCGCGAAAGGCAACGGCCCGAATCCGCCCGCGCAGTCGCAGTCGCCGCGGCCGCCGCACTACCTCAAGCACCACCTGCAGCACAAGATGGGGCCGCAGCCGCCCAGTCCGGGCCCGCCGCAGGCCTACCACATGGGCCCGCCGCACCACTCGGGCATGGGTCCGCCCTCGATGGGCCCGCCGTCGAGCAGCGCTCACCTGCCGAACAGCCATCCTGGGTAGGGCAGCGCGACATTGGGTTTTAGGGTTATCAATATTTTGAAATGTATCGATATATCAATACAAGACAATACAATAATTTATTCATCCCAAATAAACTGGTCAGCATTGATAACGTCGTGGTCCTAAATATAGCCTGAATTCAAAGTAGAATAACGTACGAATTTCCTCACCAATTTGAAATCGGTTTTCACCGATGATTAGCGTAATCTCTTGACAGTTTGTTGTGTGGTAATATGAAACTTCTGTAATTTCAGATAACATTGCTACAGGGTGATAATTGAATGGGTGGAAAATTGCATCGTGGTCGTCACTCTACCGTTTGAACAGATAATTTTTTAAATTTTATTTCTCACCTGTATCCTCTTGATTGATGCTTTCTCTCGAAACCTTTTCGGAATTTTCAAATTCAGAGCTTTGATAATCTTGTTATGAATATTCATTCGAAATGATGCATTTTTTCGACGGTTAATTGAATGAAATTGGAAGTTCGGATTCTTTTTCGAAGAATCAACGTTATATGTATAGTCGTCGGATATGTGATTGTGTTCGAACATAGAAAATTCTGAAGAAGTCTATACAAAGTGATACAAGAAATACTGAATGATGGAATGGAGGATAACATAGTCATCAGTAGATGAAACATAATTTTTTCTGTGTTACTAGTGAAATAATGGAGTGTTACTTCTTCATGAGGATGTCTGGTGTCAGACCTCGAAATGGTTTTGTAATTCTTCGGATCGAAGGTCATATAATGAAGATACGCATTTTTAATAAAAATTATGCATTTTCTTCAGGATAAGTTATAAAATTAAGAAAATTTCGATTGCAGTTCCAGAAGTATGAAATTTATATTCTTTCTTGACGATGGATATACAAGGTGCGATGAAAAATATGCCCACATTGTCCCGGGATGAAGATGAATATGTTTAAACGTTATGAAAATCGCTATGTTCCGAAAAAGAAATATTAGTCTTGGAAATTGTCCAAAATTGTGAAATGTATTAATACAGTAACTTTTCATGGATTTTATACGAGGAAAAGAGATTGCAGAATTGCCATAGATTCGATTGAATGTTTTTCATACTAATGAAGATAAATACAGTAAGTCCTCATGAGGATTATACGAGGTGATATGAAAGAGACTTCAGAATTGCCATATATACGTGCATACTTGTAACCATTGCATCTTATACTGATCTAGCACCTACAATATCTTCAGAAGGACAATTTCCTCATAGTATTCCAGTGTTAAGTTGAATGGAGATAGAATAACTCTTGAATGTTCATTTCAGCACCATCCTTCACTGGGTGATTCATGAGAAATTTATAATATATCACCTGCTGCTCTAGATTTGAAGAATTTTATTAAAAAAAAAATAGTTTGCCTGACTTATACTTACAATTATTGCTATTTTGGCTATATTGGCATATTGGATTGACTTTCAATCCAATCTGTGTCTCTTTCATGTCACCTCGTATGATCCTCATGAGGACTCACTGTATTCATCTTCATTAGTATGAAAAACATTTTATCGAATCTATGGCAATTCTGCAGTCTCTTTCATATTTCCTCGTATAAACCTCATGAAAAGTTACTGTATTTATACATTCCACAATTTTCGACAATCACCGACACTATATTTTTTTTCGGAATATAGCGATTTTCATCACTTATACATATTCTTCTTCATCCTGGGACAATCTGGACATATTTTTCATCGTACCTTGTATATCCATCGTCAATATTAAATATAAATTTCATACTTCTGGAACTGCAATCGAATTTTTCTCAACACCAGACATCCTCATGACGAAGTAACACTCCATTATTTCACTAGTAACACACAGAAAATTATGTTTCATCTACTGAGGCCTACGATAGACATCTTCAGAATTTCCTGTGTTCGAACACAATCACAATTTCTTCGAAAAAGAATCCCAACTTCCAATTTCATTCAATTGATCGTCGAAAAAATGCATCATTTCAAATGCATATTCATAACAAGATTATCAAAGCTCTGAATTTGAAAATTCCGAAAAGGTTTCGAGAGAAAGCATCAATCAAGAGGATACAGGTGAGAAATAAAATTTAAAAAATTATCTATTCAAACGGTAAGGTGACGACCACGATGCAATTTTACACCCATTCAATTATCACCCTAAAGCAATGTTATCTGAAATTACAGAACTTTCATATTGCCACAACAAACTGTGAAGAGATTAGGATAATCATCAGTGGAAACCGATTTCAAATTGGTAAGGAAATTCGTGAGTGAATTCAGGCTATATTTTGGACCACGACGTTATCAATGTTGGCCAGTTTATATAAATAAAAGAGTAATGGGGTGAGTCACTTTTGAGGAACACCCGGTATACTATCGAACAGTCACGAAATATCGATATATCCATATTTGAAAAAACTAATATCATTCGGTTGATCGACGAATTCATCAACACATCCACTTCTCTTCGCAGCCCCAACCCTGGCCACGACGGCGGGCCGATGCCTCCGCCGAGCAGCACCCCCAACTCGCACGCTACCGGCGCCGACATGATGGACAACGGGATCACGACGACGGCGGCCGGCCCGGCGATGGGGACGCTCGTGACGGCGGCGGCGGCGGCGCAGGGGTCGGTCACCTCGGTGGTGACCACGGGGCCGGACGGGGCGCCCATCGACGAGGGGTCGCAGCAGTCGACGCTGTCGAACGCCTCGGCGGGTGAGTCGGTTTTTTTTCAACACCCTTTTATCAGGTTCACCTGTATTTAGTCATTTTTTCACCACTAGCTCTAGAACCTACCGTTATTTACTACTTTTCAAGGCGCGAAGTGTGTTTACTACCAACGTAGCTTCCGTCATTTCATGAACCACTAGTCAATAAAGACATGGCCACCTCTGATATATAATTGACCCGAATTCACTGTTCTTATATGAGATTCATAAGAATGACACTCGAATTTCGTAGGTGTCAATAACGACTTGGCATATGCTGACATGGTCATGGCATTGATGAAATAAACTTCTGGTGTGCTCACTCTTCATTTGTTTCGTCAGACTGATTCTTGATATAAACAATTTGATTTCAGACGATGGCGTGGGGTTCACAGATTGAATGTTAGATGTCGTGATTCCAAAAACGTATGATTAACATCAGTTCTACCAACCTTGATGCGGCTAAATCGCGAAATGTATTCCCTATCTTCATTGGTCACAATTGTCACATTGATGCCTGTAATTTTGGTACGGCACCCAGCTAATCTTAGTGAGATTCAGCATCGCCATGCTATGTTTATCGAAGTAGGCGAAAATCAAGGAATTGTATATCAGGAAAGGATTGAAGTGCGTTTATTTCATCAATGTCATGACAATTAGAATTGAAAACAAGTGCCTCCAGACTCCAGAGTGACAATAGGTCCATATTTCAGTTTCACAGAACTATCATGATTGAAATATACTGCTAGTGGGGAAAAAAATGTAATATACACCTTGGTAGTGAATACTATTACCATGGGACCTCAGAACGTTAGAAAAAATATATCTACAGGGGTCGGTCACCTCGATGGTGACCACAGCAGCACCCATAGAAGAGGAGATATTTGCATAGACTACAGAAGATAAACTATAAGACAGTTCACTCGTTCATTTTGCGACTTCTAAGAGATCTCGCCGCAACCTAGCCGACCGCTGGATTCTGCCGGCTAACGACTGCCGGGGCCTTTGAAATCGCAATCTAATTAGCTGTCAACCGACCGCAACCGTTTGGCGGTGCAATGATTTATAGAAAAGCAAAAAATGCAATGTTGGGCTGTACCGACAAACGGATTTCACTAAGTGAACAATCTTCTAGAATTCAGTAATCTTTGATATTTGGAGAAAACGATTGAATATACCTCAGAAAATAAAACTTCAAAGGAATCAACTCTTCAATTTAATTTTCTCACAGAAAAATATGTTAACATGATATAAAAAGAATGGCGGTATACAAATTGACTTACATACCTTGGGAGAGGAACAAGGTACCTTGGAAGAATTGATTTTTGGACAAGTCCGTGCCCAGGATTTTTTTTTTCGGGGGAGAGATTCACGAAAAAAAGAACTGCTATTTCAAATTTTTTCTCGAACTGAAGGGAAAAAGTCGGATTAAGGCTGTCATTTCAGACGGGTCCAGACCCCCCCCTTCTGGGCATGTCTTTGAATTTGAAATACGGTGTACCGGATTCATTTGAAAGGGTAGATAGCATTATTACCTAAATTTAACAGTGGTTAATTATTGAGATCGTTGAGAAAAATGTTAGAATTTTTGCGTATGTTGATTTCTAATGATTCCAAATTATCGAGTTTTATTTCCTTTTTTTCTACGTGTACAATTTTGAAATTATCATCGGAACTATGGTTTTCTTCTAATGTATGGTTCGCATATGTTGAATTTGTAATTTTCCAAAAAATTCATCTTATGTTCATGAATGCAGTGATTAAATGTTCGACTTGTCTGACCGATATATACCTTGAAACTAGATCAACAGTTAAGTTTGTATACGCCTGATTTTTAGAATTCAGAAGGTTTGCCTTTATTATTTTTTATAAACCTTCCCAACATGTTATTTAATCTTTAGGCAACTTTCAAGTCCTGTTTATGTAGAAACATGACTCACCCTCTATGGTTTTAGGATTTTTGTTATCAGAGCGAGGTTTATTTCATCAATATCGGAGCATTCCACAGATGACTTCATTGACATTTTACTGCATATTTCTCATTTATCATACACCATCATTCCAGCACAGGTGTTCATACTCACAAGCTCATACACATTCAATTTTTTTCAAGCAAATTGAATTCAACACCTCGCCTTCTTTGGTATGCAAAAATTCAGATAGGTACAAGTATATCCGCCACGGTCACGAAAAACTTCCTGGCAAAGACGTCCTATACCCAAAATAAAGACCAAATGTCATTTTTGTCCAGGTCTTCCCGAATTTGAATCATCAGTCTCTGCCGTGCGTTTTCCGAAGTATTCAAGTTATGTTCCTCTTGTGATCTTGTTCCAAGAAGGTCCCTGAGTTTCTCAATGGGATTTAGATCCGGGTTCCGAGCTGGCCATGCCATGGTACCGATACAGACTTCCTCTACATAATTTCTCACAACTCGGGCGACGTGAGGCTTGAGATTGTCTTACATTAACAGAAATACTTACACTATATGTGGTTTTTGGGGAAATAGGAAAGATAATGGAGTTAATCCAAATAAGGAATGTTGAAAAAAGATAAGGCTAGAGTATACCTTCAATTCCAACATGATAACGTAATTGTTACACTCCACAGGGTATCACAAATTTCATGAAGAAAACACTCTATAATTATCGCTACACCTGGTATTCACAAAAAAATGGTTCTTATGTGAATACAGTTTGCACACAAGTAGTTTTGACGAAAATGTTTCGTAAACTTTTGGCTACTTTTTGGTGGTGCGTTAATTTCTTTGAGACGTGTACTCTACTGCGCGTTTTTGCAATATAAAAACTGAGTGTGTCATTGTTTGTTGACCGTTTCCTCTCTATTTATCCCCCCAGCTTCAGGCGGCGAAGACCCTCAATGCACTACCCCGAAGGCGTCTCGCAAGAACGACATGGGCCACTACGGGCACCCGACGACTCCCCAAGGGGCGGGGCAGTCGCCCGGGGCGGCCGGCATGAATTCCATGCACGACGAATACGGAGACCTGGGCAGCCCCAGCTGGCAGCGCACCCCAGCTAGCCCGGTAAGCGACGGAACTGTGTTGTGCTTATTTTTTTTTCTCTATTTTTGGCCATCAAATTGTTCATGTCCAATTGTTGGAATTCATATCCACAACGCGAGGGGGAATTCGCCATTTATACAATGTGGGCCACAGGCCGAATTATATTCTTTAATAGTTTGGCGAGGGTTAAACCACCTTGGCATTATGGTGTATAGGCAGTGAAATATCCAGTGGGATTCCAGGGGCCCGATTCTCGAATCTGTAGGAATTCGATCCTATAGCAGAATGATCTCATAGGAAATGATAATTTGTCATGACACCTATTCTTGAACCAAATGGAATCATTTTTCCCAGGGGATTGAAAAAGTGCCGTATGTCGTAGATAGATTCTTGAGCTTACATGAATTCACCAATGAAATAAGTGCAATTTATGTTGGTAACTGGTGGATGATTGAAATGAAATGTTGACATTTTGATTTTGACTAATTTTGAGGTTATGATATAATATAATTTTGCGATGGAGAGATTATTGTGTATTGTATATCTATTATATTTCCTCTGATCAAAATGAATATGGATACAAACAATATTAAAAAACCACGAGATGGTAGTATCAGCAAAGAGCAGAAAATACGTTTAAAAGAAGTGATGGAGGTCTCTGAGGACTTGAGGAAAGGAAAATTCCAACCCAAATTCACTTATAAGGATTCTAAGGTACCTATCAAATCTCTATTGATGTCATATGTTTTCCCGATTTTTCATTAGGGTTCAGTTCCCATCACAAATGAGAATAACTTTCCATTTCATGAGTGTACTCTTTGGAAAACATGCTGTTCCCATGGATATCACCATGGGAAGCAGTTCTCTTGAAATGTGAAGGAATAGTTCCCATACAATAGTTTAAGAATACATCATCTCAAATTCCATGGGATATATCGTGTTTTTCCCATTGGAATGAATTCCAACGGATTCGAGAATCGGGCCCCAGTGGGATTCCGGGTGGATTCCGTGGGATTCTGGGTGGATTCCGTGGGATTCTGGTGTACAGGGTGGGCAACATTTGTCGTTTTCACGGGCTATTTCAATAACTAAATGAGTTATGTAAAAACCGATATACAAGTTACGGGTTCGTTTTTAGAGAAACCTAAGATGGCGCTATTTGAATTCTGATATCTTCATTCGTTTCAGAGATACAGGGGGAAATTGAAAAATTGCGTATTTCGTTTTTATATCCTGAGTACTTTGTGGTGAAGGATATTGAAAAATTCCAAACATTTATTGATGAAGTATGATTCGTAGAATCCATTGGCATCATTAGAAATCTTCAGGGTGACATTAAAAAGATATGGCAGCCAATTATACTTTATCTTATGGAATACTCAGTATATTTTAACACAGTTGGATAGTCCAAGGTGTTCCAATTAAGACTTCGTTTTTAGAATCATCATTTCGAAAATCAGGATTTCAATAGCTCTTGAATTCGCCCGTAGAAAAAAAAAAGCAATCTAAAGTTGGTGTAGTATTTTAGGTTAATCAGTGAAATTATTTGACGTTTCGTTTCTCAATTTCCGTACACCTGTGACGTAGGTACTGATTTTCTTCAGAATTGTGAATATTTTCATCGTTTTCCCAATGAAAATTACAAAATTGTTTCGCCTTGAATTCATCTTGTGTTCGTTTTTTTTTTGTATTCACTGAAGAAGCTTACAATAACTAACTCACTCCAATCAATTTATTTATTTATTTATTTATTAGGATCCATGATGAAAATAACATTCATGTGGAATAAGTCAGAATAACAGGTGCATTTCTTATAGACAACAAACTAGTACAATAAACATATAGGTATGGTTTCAGAAGACAATGTAACATGTCAAGTATACATACTAATAACTACATTAAAAAAAGGAACAAACAATAGTTATCACGTGGTAACCAGTGAGGAGCTAAGGTTATGATATTTGAGAAAGCTGGTACAGCAAATTTCCGTATAATAAGTACCTACCTACCTATTCAATTAAAGGAGTCGAAAGAAAAATTCAGGAACTCGTCCAGACTATAAAAAACATTCTCAAGCAGGAATCTTTTTACTATTCTCCTGAATATTTGCATGTTTTTTTCCATCCTCATTTGCGGAGGAAGATGATTGAATAATTTAATTGGAATAATATAAGAACTATTCGCTGTACGAGATAATCTATGTTCAGGTACATACAAGTTGTCCGCTTGTCTAGTTGAATATTTGTTGAGTTCGTTGCACTTTTTGAAATTTGAGTAATTCTCATGAACATGTAGGAGACATGCATAAATGTAAACTGAATAGACCGTAAGTATTTTGAGGTTTTTGAATATTTCTCGACAAGAAGCTCTATGTCCAGCAAATGATATGCATCTCACTATTTTTTTCTGTTGAATAAACAAATCTTTCATTCTAGTTGAGCTTCCCCAGCATAATATACAGTAGTTCAATGTCGAATGTACAAAGGAAAAATAATATGACTTGAGAATTTCTTGATTAACAGATTTTCTTAGTTGATATAAAGCATAATGAAAACGAGCCAACTTATTTCTCACCGAATCTATCTGATCATTCCATGTAAGATTGGAGTCCAAAAATATACCGAGAAATTTGACACATTCCTTGCGTTCTATGGTAGTCTCTTCCATTCTTATTTCTGTCAAGGTGTGCTGCACTCTCTTTGTCGAGAACACCATGATATTTGTTTTAGAAGCGTTCAGAACTAAACCATTTCCTGCAGACCACTCGATCAGTCTGTCATTTTCTAGAGTCATTCTTTCAGTCAACTCGATATCACTTGATGAGCTCACGGTGATCGAGTAGTCATCAGCAAATAATGTAGAAAGATCGCATCTCACATGTTTCACAATGTCATTTATGAAAATGATAAATAATAAGGGGCCCAGTATACTTCCTTGTGGGACTCCATAGGAAGTTGGCTTCATATCTGACTTGAAATGTTTGTTATTTTGTCTCAAACTTACGAACTGCAGTCTATTTGTGATGAATGATTCGATCCATTTGAGAGGTTGGCCACGTACACCGTATCGCTCCAACTTATTCAAGAGAATTTGATGGTTTATGGTATCGAAGGCTCGACTAAAGTCATAGAATATACTAGAACATATTTCCTTCGCCTCCAGTGATTTTAAAATATGAACGAACAATTTATTTACGGCTTGTTGCGTTGAACAGCCTTGTCTAAATCCAAACTGGCAATCACTCAGAATTTTTCGGCGTTTAATAAAAGAATTCAAACGAATGAAGAAGCATTTTTCGAAAATTTTTGAAAAAACAGAGAGTAGTGATATAGGTCTAAAATTGCTGATTGAGTGCGCATCTCCTTTCTTATGAACTGGAATGGAATACAATGTATACCAATTTAAACTATAATGTTTATATCTTTATTCTTCCTTTGGAACTGGTTTTGATGTGTCTTTGTCCTGATTCAATTTTGATGATTTATTGTTTTTGGTTGGATTGAGTGAATTTTCTTATTTGATTTGAGCTAATTGGCGGGTATTTACAGGTGTTTAACAGTCATGTGCCTCCGCCGGATACGTATCGCTCAAAGGTTGATATCAAATAATATTATTTTTTGTGGTGCTGAAAAAAATTTTTGGTTTATATTAAGAGCATGCGCCGCATGTGTTTAGTGCTTGTTCTTGAATAAAGCCCTTTTGTTACTAATTTGAAAAATTATTGCGAAAATATCAGAAATTTGTTTCATGCCATTGTTATTATGCAATTTTATCTGGAATTTATGCCAGTGCTGATAAAGTTTACAGGATTGATATTATGTATGATGCTTTTAGAGATCTGTGATGTTTTCCAATAGTAGAGCTATACTTGCCTAATAATTTTGGTAATTCTGTGTTTTAACCAATAATATGAAAATGGTTTACCTTCCATGGCTTTGATATTGATTAAAAAGCCCAGTTGTTTTGGTTGATCAAATTCTTCCTACTGGCTAACAAATTCGACATAAAAATAACTGCATGTTTGTGACTGTCAATGCATTTCACTAAATAGCTTTGAAAATATTTATTAGCCATAACTTATTATGCTTCACATAATTTAATTAATACTAACTAGTATTTAATGATCTTTATAGCTTCATTGAAGTACCAAAATTACACTCTAATAATGCTTTTACTAATAAATCCGAATTTACCATGTTTCGTTGATCCTAATTTAATAGTTAGGCAGGGATGGAATTCGATTTGCTCACTGGGAATCCATATTCCCAATCGTTTCCAAGATATAAGACCTATTTTGTTATTCAAATGGTGGTTATGTAACTCAATTTCAAGCTGATGGTTCTTCCATAACAAGCATAATTTTTCTTGTGAGCAGTATCCCCTACATTTGCTTTATGAAGAGACATATTCTCACAAAAAATACTGCAGGAATTTTATATCACATGATTTTTATTGCACAAATGAAAATGCTCTAGGAAAGATCCTGGTCATATTTTTTTCTGATTTAACTATGAAAACCAATATTGAACCAGGATTTTGTCTAGTTTTTGTACATTCAGTTTTTTTTTTGTTATTCAATGTCGATAGACAGTGGCAGGCAATTTCACACAAAAATATTGGATGCAGCCATGTGTATTAGTACACACCTGCACCCCTCAAAACATATTTAAGTCAAATTCTTGCGCCAAGTACATCATTATCAAATCATTGGCAACTGATCTAGGGGTCTATTCTCCAACCGTTCGAATTCAATTCGTATACGCATAAAGAATGATCGACTTATGTATGTTGAAGTGAAATAAAAAATCGTATTCCTGTACGAAAAACGCTCGAGAATAGGCCCCCTGATGCAAGATGAATTTTTCCTTGCCTTTCCTTTCAACGAGACATGGTGGATTTTGTGTTGTGCCTGGCCATCTCAATTGTGACCGACGAAGCGTGTGTGTGTTTTCCAGAAAACCGACAGCCTAGGTAAGCTGTACGAAATGGACGATAATCCGGACAGGAAGGCCTGGCTGGACAAGCTTCTGGCCTACATGGACGATAGGAGAACGCCCATCACCACCTGTCCTACCATCTCCAAGAATCCCCTTGATTTGTTCCGCTTGTATATGTTTGTTAAGGATCGTGGGGGCTTTATGGAGGTTTGTACTTTTGTCGATCGGTGTTGTGGCCATAGACATATAGAAAGAGGAGAGACGAAATGTTCAACAGTTTTTCACGATCCAACATCGTTTTCTTCTGAAAACAATGATAATACCGCCTGTGTTTGAAAGCGAGGGAAGTGTGATATATCCTTTGTCTAGTTAGCAAGGATATCATTATAAGGATGTGGATTCAGGATTCAGATAGATACTACCATGTCGGATGTCTGTGACGAGAGAGGAGGAAGTCCTCTTGCGCCAAGCTTTTATTAAACCACTTTGACATTGACATGACATGATTGACATGACATGATTGACATAGAACATAGAATATGTGACATCTCCCTTCTTTAAGAATTTCAACAAACAATATAATAACAATAATTCAAATTCAAGCAACTAACAAATACACTAAAATACAAGGTATAATACAAGGTATATGACAAGCTGATTGTTTTATAAAATCGATTTTATATGTTATATAATATTGATATATAAAACAAGTATACAAACAAATACATTTAAATTGATGACACCTAAGTTAAAATGAAACTAACAACTAAAATTGCATGTTTAGCCTATCCCTAAAATTACATGTTTGCCTATCACTAATTCTCTCCTCTTTTCCCCCTTTTTTTTTTTTTTTTTTTTTTTTTTAAAGGTCAAGTCTATGAGGAGGTTTTACAATGCGCCCTCTTCTGGTTTGTTGAGGCAAATTGACTGTTACAGTTTCATTCAGACTACTGTCACTTATTGAACCTTCAATGCTTAAATAATCATCAATTGAGCTTAATGAATCATTATCATTATGAAAGAGTTCTTGATCATCGCTACTAGTACTACTTTGAGTCTCATTATCATTGGTTTCATTTAGAGTTTCATTTTCTTCATTCATGGGAGGGATTTCATCATATTTAAAAGAATTATGAGTTTTATTCAAAGCTGTATCATTTGGTTTGGGAAAAGCATTTTTTATTTTTACTAGGTCTTTTCTGTTTCTCGTCACAATGTTATTTGTCTTTTCCAATTTAATTTTGTATGATCTATTTTGTGGCAATTTTTCTACTACTATACCATCAATCCACTTTTCTTTCATTTTATTTTTGTCATGATTTTGTACTTTAACTTTATCTCCTAGGCATAAAATTGGTAATTCTTTTGTATTTCTATCAAAATATTTTTTCTGGAGGTCTTGTTTTTCTTTCAAATTGGATTGTACTTGTTTTATTGGAATAACTTTGGGAAGTAGTTGTGTGTCTAATATTGGCAAAGAAGTTCTCAATTTTCTGCTAAATAGTAATTGTGCTGGACTTGGAATTTTGTTTGAAATGGGTGTATTTCGGAGATCTAAAAGACATAGGTATGGGTCATTTCCTGCATTCAAACATTTTGATAAAAGATTTTTCGCAGTTTGTACAAACCTTTCAACTTGGCCATTTGACTGAGCAAAATGAGGACTAGAAGTATTATGAGAAAATTTCCACTCGTTGGTAAAGTTTTTGAATTCTTGTGAGGAAAAACATGGTCCATTGTCAGATATGACTGTTTTCGGGATTCCATGTCTAGAGAATATTTGTTTTAGAAATTTTATCACTTCGTTGCTAGTTTGCGTTTGCAGAACTGCTATTTCAATAAACTTTGAGTAATAGTCTACTAGTAAAATGTAATTTTGATCTTTGAATTTGAAAAAATCTATGCCTACTCTTTCCCAAGGTCCACCTGGTATTGGGTGAGGTATTAGTGGTTCTTTAGTATTATATCTTCTATTGGATAAGCAAATATTGCAAGATTCAATTTTATTTTCTATGTCTTTTGACATACCTGGCCAGAAAAAATATTCCCTAGCTAACAATTTTGTTTTTTCTATACCTTGATGTGACAAATGCAGTTTATCTAGTATTTCTTCTCTCAAAATTTTAGGAACCAATATCTTATCATTTTTTAGAATTAGGCCTTGTGCATGTGTGAGTTCATGTCTAATTGGCCAAAATTGTTTCAACTCTTTTTCAAGACATCTATTTTTAGGAAAACCTTTACTAATCAGATCCATCAGCTTAACTAGCTGTGGGTCCTTTGAAGTTTCTTTTTGAAATTCCCTGAATTTATAGTTTGACATAGGGGTTTTTTCAGTTATCAGATATAGTTGTGATTCAATCTCTGTGCATTTCTTTTCAAATATGTCATCAATACATTTCGGAAATGTTCGACTTAGAGCATCAGCAAAAAACATGTCTTTTCCTTTTTTATATACTATTTTGAAATTATATGGTTGTATCATTATTAACATTCTCTGTAATCTAGCTGGAGCATCAATAAGTGGTTTATTGAATATGTTTACAAGGGGTTTGTGGTCAGTTTCGATGGTGATATCATTTCGTCCCACAATATATTGATGAAATTTCAAGCAAGCATGTGTTATTGCTAACATTTCCTTCTCTATTACAGCATATCTTTGTTGAGTTGGAGTGAAAGCCTTTGATGCATAAGCTACAGGTGCATTATTTTGCAGTAAGACTGAACCACAACCATATTGAGATGCATCACAAGAAATTATAATTGGATCTACTGTGGAGTAATATTGAAGTATGGGTGCTTTGCCCAACAATGATTTCAAAGTTTGAAAAGATATTTCCTGTTCTTTCTCCCAATGAAATGCAATCCCTTTTTTAATTATTAATCTTAATGGTTTTGTGATTTCTGAAAAGTTAGGTATGAAACGAGAAAGATAGTTAACTATTCCCAGAAATCTTTCAACTTCCTTTGGATTACTGGGTTGCTGCATTTTTGTCACTGCTTCTACTTTTTTATCATCAATTTCCAGACCCTTTTTAGAAATTTTAAAACCCATGTATTTGACAGTTTCTAAACAGAATTTACATTTTTCTTTGTTTAGTTTAATATTATTTCTTCTAGCTAGATCAAGAACTCTTTCTAATTTTTTGTTATGCTCGTCCAGAGTCCTACCCCAAATCAAAATATCATCGATGTAGATACCAATGCCCTGAACTTCATCGAAAATTTGACTGATTTTGTTTTGAAAAACTTCTGAAGCTGAAGAAATTCCATATGGCATTCTAAGAAATCTGTATCGACCAAATGGGCTGTTGAATGTGCAAAGTTTACTACTATATTCGTCAAGTTGAATGTGCCAAAATCCGTTGCTACAGTCCAATACTGTGAAGTAGCAACATTCACTCAATTTACTTATGATATCATCTAAAAGTGGAGTATAGAAATGTTCCCTTTTTATGGCTTTATTTAGATCTTTTGGATCGATACAAATTCTTATGTCATTGGTCGCTTTTTTATGAACAATAACTAGTGAATTTACCCATTCTGTTGGCTCTGTGACTCTGCGAATGATATTTTTTCTTTCCAATTCATTGAGTTTTTCCTTCAGCTTCTCGTTCAGGGTGAATGGTACTCTACGGGGTGGATGGACTCTGGGCTGCACTCTCTCATCTATTTTTATTCTGTGTTTTCCTTTCAGACATCCTATTCCCTGAAAAACATCATTATAATTATTTACTATTTCATATACTTTTTCATTACATTTTTCATCTTTCTTGCTAATTGTATTGACTTCATTTCTTTTTATTAACCCCAAGTTTATGCATGCATCTAATCCCAGTATAGCTTCACTCTCAATTTTAGTAATGTGAAATTTAATTTTTGCTATATTGTCTTTACTATGACATTGCTTTATTTTTAAATACACTGTGCCTAATGAACTTATTGAATTTCCATTATAATCTGATATTTTATTGTAATTCTTTGATAGCTCTGATTCGTCAATATTAAGGGCTGTCAAATATTTGCGTGGCAGAATGCAACAATCTGCTCCTGTGTCTAGTCTAAAAGATACTTTTACCTTGTTGTTTATGTAGAAAGATTCATACCATCTAGTAGTGGTAGTTGTTTTACAGTCTACATTCCCTACGAAAAAATCCTCTAAAAAGAAATCATTATCAGCATTCTCAAGTGAATCATCTTCATTAACATTGTTTACCCTTGTTTTTCTATTATTTCTACAAACACTAGCAAAATGATTGAACTTTTTACAATTTATACATTGCTTTCCGAATGCTGGACAATTTTTAAATTTATGCTGTGTTCCACATTTATAACAAGTTTTACTTATCTTAGATTTCCGTGATGTCCATGGCTGGTGGGAGGGAGTTTGATCCGTATGCAAGTTTCTGCTATTCGACCTCTGCTGTTGACTGTACCTGCTGGTATTAGTTTGGTATCTTCGGTTGTTTCTGATGTTCACTGCATGTACCTCATTTGATGGTGGTTCATGTCCAGACTGGATTACACTGAGCTGCTTTGATGCTGCTTCTGCTGCTCGACATACCTCAAGTGCTCTTGCTAGAGATAATCCATTTTCTCGAAGCAATCTGTCCTTCATTGCTAGATCTGATATACCCAGGATCAGTCTGTCTCGTATGAGACTATCTGTGAGGTTGCTGAACTCACATGAATTAGCAAGTTGACGAAGTTCTGTTACATAGGCATCATAACTTTCCAATTCCTTCTTGTCTCTAGTGAAAAATCGGTACCTTTCGTATGTTACATTCTTGGCTGGGGTGAAATATTCGGTAAACTTCTGTAGAATTGCTGCACAGGATGATTTATTTTCTGTTGCGCTCCATGTGAAATTGTTATAGATACGCAAAGCTTGATCGCCCACTCTATTCAGCAATATATCACCTTTCGCTGTGTCTGTTTCTTCCGTTAGCTTGCTTGCTCGCAAATATATTTCAAATTTCTGCCTGAAGAAGGCCCAATTCTCAGCCATGTTACCAGTGCAATTTAGTTCACTCGGGGGGACCGCGTGGTCTGGCATTATGTGAGGTTATGTTTGTTTCACGTGCTCACCTTTTGATTTCTGATTTATTTTTCCACACTATACCTTGTTCATTGGCCGTTTGGTTAATTTACCGACTGCGCCATGTGATATATCCTTTGTCTAGTTAGCAAGGATATCATTATAAGGATGTGGATTCAGGATTCAGATAGATACTACCATGTCGGATGTCTGTGACGAGAGAGGAGGAAGTCCTCTTGCGCCAAGCTTTTATTAAACCACTTTGACATTGACATGACATGATTGACATGACATGATTGACATAGAACATAGAATATGTGACAGGAAGCATTCATCATACATTAATTATATAATATACATTTTTATGTATACAGGGTGTTTCACAGGTAAAGGGAAATATTTCAATGGTAGATAGGGGTCACCAAGGTGGTTCTGAAAATACCATATTTGATAGGTCTTAGAGTTTTCATAACGGAGATACAGGGCGATTTATCGATTTCGAATAATTATTCATTCGTCTATAAGTATTGAACTACCCAGTATATTCTTCTAAAATTTGGTATGGAGCCTAAACTTGGGACGTTGAATTCATTCACCTATCGGGCGAAGAGAAAATCCAGGTTCGGCTTCAGGAAAAATTCACATTTATTCGAAATATTAAAATAACACACTGTATGTAATAATTGACAGAGTTCATCAAAGGAATCGTAAAGAGGAGGAAAAACTGAACTGGATTTGATGCTTTTTGTTTTCCCGCCACCAATTCTCATCGTAACAATCATAAACAGAAAGCTGAAAATATGTCAATTTGAAGAGTATTGAAATTATGAAACCAGTGTCAATTATGATTATTCGATATATTTTAGTCAAAAAATCGCTCGAAAGAACTTACTAGTTCTCACAGTTTTTATAACGGAGATACAAGGTGAATCATCGGTTTTGAATAATTCTTCACTCGTCCATAAGTATAAAACTACCCAGTAACATTTTCTCAAATATGGTATGTAGCTTACTTGGGACGATGGGTTCATTAACCTATCAGGTGGAATTATAATTCGATAATTCATCCTGTATCTCTGTTATAAAGACTATGAGAGCTTTTCTGAAGCTGAACCTGTATTATCATTCTACCTGATAGGTCAATGAATCCATCGTCCCAAGTAAGCTCAATACCAAATTTGAGAAAATATTACTGCGATGGGTAGTTTAATACTTATGGACGAGTGATAATTCACCCTGTATCTCTGTTATAAAGACTGTGAGACTAAGTAAGTTCTTTCGAACGATCATTCAACAAGAATATATCAAATAATCATAATTGAAAGTGGTTTCATAATTTTGATACTCTTGAAATTGACATACTTTTAGCTTCCTGTTTATGATTGATACGATAAGAATTGGTGGCGGGAAAACAAAAAGCATCAAGTCCAGTTCAGTTTTTCCTCCTCTTCACGATTCCTTTGATGAACTTTGTCAATTATCACATACAGTGTGTTATTTTAATATTTCGAATGAATGTAAATTTTTCCTGAAGCCGAACCTGGATTTTCACTTCGCCCAATAGGTGAATGCATTCAACGTCCCAAGTTTGAGCTCCATACCAAATTTTAGAGAAATATACTGGGTAGTTCAATACTTATAGACGAATGAATAATTATTCGAAATCGATAAATCGCCCTGTATCTCCGTTATGAAAACTCTAAGACCTATCAAATATGGTATTTTCAGAACCACCTTGGTGGCCCCTATCTACCATTGAAATATTTCCCTTTACCTGTGAAACACCCTGTATTTATTCTGTATGTTTGTTCCTTGATTGAAATATGTGAATTCTGCTATAGAAATAACTTGAATTTTACTAATATCATCATTACATAAAATTATAATACATTATGGAAATTAGTGTGGCAACGCTGTATTGGCGTGTTCTACGAGTTACGCATATCTTTCATTAATGCATTCACGTATGTCAGAATCCGACGTTACACTGTTGTTGTGCTGTGGTTGTTACCATTTCAGGACTGTTTGTGTTTCAATTGATTTTTAGTGTTTTCTTGTTATAAAACTATATATAAAGACAGTTATTAAAAGTTTATTATGGTACGCCAGTGCGTGTATTGTGAAGAAGTTTCACAACACAAATTGGTATTTCGTCGTAAGTAAGGTTATATGTTTGTTATCTTGAGCAGTGGCGTAGTTATCGCAGGTTATTTACCTAAATCATTTCGAGAAACCTTTTTTTTTTTGTTCAAATTCCACTGAATGATTCATTTCATAATTTGTAAACAAATAGTGTTTTATGAATGAAATGTTATGTCTCCCCTCTTCTTATATATCTATGGTTGTGTCAATATTTTTTGTCCAGCATCATGAATGCTAAGATTGACGGCCTGGGACATTTTGCAAAGTGTACGTTTTCGAATTATGGGTGGTACGAATGCATTATTAACAGGTATCAATGGTGGAAATTTGGTTCTTTACTTGATGGATTTGAATGATTTTTTTTCGGATTTCTCAGAGAACCATTTGACTCTTTCTGGTTCATGGGAAGAAATATCAACTCAATAACATCCTCGGGTGAATAGCATAATAGAGGTGCTATAAAAATAAACAGTTGCCTTCCTAGGTCAGGTGACCTAAAAAAAAAATATTTTTTAAATGGGGTACACCTATATTTATATATATAGTTTGCCGTTTATGTTGAGTATTCTTTTGTTAATTTAAATACAGGGGGTGATTGTTTGGCCTCAAATTAATGGCTCTAAAACTTATGTTCATTCAGAATATGAGAGATTATATTTTAATTAGTAATCATCAATATTACTGGATGCATTTTATCATTGTTAGCCTGTTGACAAATAAAATCCATTGCTGGGACCCTATTTCTCTTCATCTGGCGCCCAACGTGGGTTACTTGTTAATAACAAATTGAATTCAGTCTCACTCAAACGGCTTCCAGTTCCACTTGACTTGGCTAGAAAATTCGTTAGTTTCTTTAAACAAAATTGATACCAATGAATGATATTGAGTGGTTATTTTGTTACAAACTCTCTGAGAACCTATTCCTCTTCATTTGGCGCCCAACGTGGGGTACCTACTGGTAGAATGACACTCAGTTCCACTTGTATTGGCTTATAAACTTTCCTCTTCTCCGCAGGTGACGAAGAACAAAACGTGGAAAGACATAGCCGGCATGCTCGGCATCGGCGCATCGTCCTCCGCCGCGTACACGCTGCGCAAGCACTACACGAAGAACCTGCTGGCATACGAGTGCCAGTTCGACCGTGGCGGCATCGACCCGCAGCCGATCATCAACCAGGTACATAGATAGATGGATATATATAGATATAGTAATTCCAGGCCCAAGAGGCCAGCCGTAAACACTGTAGCATGCAGTGATTACGTATCAAGAATGTGATCACTAATGCGGTTCTGCAGACGGTACAACCCCTACTCTCGCCTACAGACATGGCGTTCCTGGCGCATTCACCAATAGAAGAGTATTTTTCAAATATGATCATACTCAGTTTGTTTACGCTGGCCTCTTGGATTTGACTATACTATAGATAGCTATTTAGATTTTTATTTCCCGAAAGATACAGATTTGTAATATATCTGCAGGTGGTATTGGTATACCTGTACAGACAGCTAATATCAAGAAGTATTCCATTATAAAACTACATCAGTGTATCTTTATCGCATAGAGCTCAGAGAAAATGGCTAGCCAATGGGAATGTTAGCTTCAGTTGAGTTCACATTAAATGATTTCAGAACTTCTCAGTTTTATGTTCACACTGTACAGAATGATTATTGGTAAAGTTCAAGTCGTTTATATGTTCAAAATGAATGTAATGTAGCTAACAAATAAAAAAAATAGAAGGCAACTCAACTTCAAAAAATTCTTAGTTTTCTTCTTTTGACGTCATTGTTGATGTTTATATCATGACATATACTAACAAACAGGTAAAACTGATGAATAAAAACGTACATAACCACAAAATCAGATCAGCTCAGCCTGTCAGTACTTCAACCGTTTTCATATATGACTAAAGTTAAAAGCACTTCATAAGAATGGTGAAGGATCCAAGTTCCTTTTCTATTCATTCTTCTTAGAAGTTGAATTTGATCATACGAAAAAGGGAAAACAGAAATTTTTTTCACAAACCACACAAAGAGATGAAGATGTCAATATTGGAAACTAAGTAGTTCATGTGAATGAAATAATTACAATCAAATTTTTTTTTATCTCTTAGGCATGATTGCAGTATGGTAATAGATATCAAAAAATTCATCCAGATTATAGAAGACATATTATTGTAGTAATATTTTCAGTATGCTTCCGGAAAGTGATTATGACCATCTTTCGCAGGTGGAGGCGTCGTCGAAGAAGAAGAGTGCCAAGGCGACGTCGGTGCCGTCGCCGGGGTCGTCGAACTCGCAGGACTCGTTCCCTGCGGGGGCGGCCGGCGGGGCGGGCTCGATGGACGGGTACGGCGGGTACGCGGGCTACGCGCCGCCCGCCGGCAGTCAGGAGTACCAGGGGCAGCAGCAGCGGTCGGGCGGGCAGGCGGGCGCCTCGCCGCACGGGGGTGAGTGCAAGGGGGGGGATGATTGGGTAGGAGGGGAACGGGGTGTCGAACGGAAAATACGGATGTTCCTAGAATCAAAGTGAATATACAGGATGTTTGGTTCACCGACGTATATCTATCTGAAAGGGGGTGATAGTTGAGAACATTTTGAACATATTTTTCCATATATACATACTATCATACAAAGTGTTTCAAATTTCCAAGTATCATCGTTCTTTCAAACATTTTATCTGATAAAATCTCTTTTTTCTTAGAAAGTTGAATACGCATTTCATCGATATTGAACACGAAATGGGACCTAATGTGATAAAAACATCTTTTGGCTCGTTAGAATTCAAAAAACGATTTTTGTAACATCCAATTTTGAATTTATAAGCTGTGATTTCTCGAAAAGTGTAAAACTATGTATAATAGTATATATGGTCCAATTTGTTCAAAACCACATAACCCACCACCTCCTTCCGTATATACGTCTGTGAACCAAACACCCTGTATAAATGGAGTGACGACAATAGTAGTACCCTTTTTGATTGGTCAAACCATCAAAATAGAGGTGCATCCACCTGTCTTGTTTTCTTCATTCAGTTATACTCATTCTAATTCACTTTGTCAATGCTTTGTTTTTTGCTCTCTGGACACAGAACATTCAACAATCTGACATGAAACTCTATATGTCAGTACCTTGGATAGTAACCATTAGAATCTGTCTTGTGGGACTCGTAAGTCTCGTAAGTGGGCACTTCGAAGGCGCAAATTCATTAATGCATGTGAGATACCCTTCAGATTTTTAGCTATTCAGTGACTTGACGAGGAATGTCATTATTCCGGAAACGGCAGCCATTTGAAGGTCACTCTCAATTAATCTACTCATTCTACCTAGAATATTCTCTGAATATGCTAGAAAAGAGGAATACACTCATTTCATACTCCCCCTCGCCTCTATGTACAATGTCATTCATGAAGTTGGCATCATATGGGAAAAACTTTCAATGATAATTTATTTCGAAATTCGACTTTGGCGTTGAGTTTAGCTTCGAAAAAGATTAAAAATGGCCTACTCGGTCAGAGTCACGTGACTGCCGCTACATATCAGAGGTCAAAATTTATTTCTTTTAATAAATTGCTGAAAATAGGCATATTTGATTGAAATTCAGAAAAGTTTACGAAGAAGAGTTGTTTCTATTCCAATTTTATCCATGTGGCTCGAATTTGAACGTTCTATTAAATCTTTTAGCTTCTGATATTTTTTGACTTCTTCTAATTGTAACTTCGACAAACCTGTCCTTAACTTTGGTTGGACATTAAAGTAGTTTGATAATAATTTGATAGATGACTTTGGCATCATTTTAGTACTGAAAAAATCAATTTAAATAAATTTTGCTCCTGAATGTTAGACGATACATTAACTTTGCATCAAACCACAGAAATTTGAAGCAGGGGTTGTGATTTTCTGAAGAAAATCATATTTCTGTCGATAACTAGTGATTGAAAGTTAGTATAGTAGCATGATAAAGCTACTAGAATGAGAAAGTTTTGTTGGTGTTAAGTTCTTTTAATATAAAAGACATTTCGTAGATATTGAAGAAATATCAAAAACTAAAAATTGTTAGAGATCGTTCAAATTCGAGACACATTATGTAAAATCGTAATAGAAACGACTTTTCTTCACAAACTTTTTTGAAATTCAAACAAATGAGCCTATTGTCAGCGATAAATTTGAAAAACTGTAACTTTTGACATTTAGCGAAAGTCACGTGCGAAAATCACGTGACCTCGACCAAGTAGTTCATTTTTCATATTTTTCAAAGCAAAACTTAACTCCCAAGTCAGACTTCCAAATAAATTATTATCAAAAGTTTTTCCCATGTGATGCCTACTTTATGAATGGTACTCTACATGCATTGGATTCTGAAAAAAGCTTATTCAAGAAATTGTTATGTACAAATATTATTCAATATATGTTGGGCCATCTTTTTTTATTTTAGAATATGTTTATTGGAATATTCTATACGCCTTGTAGATTGTTTCATCAGTAATGATTCTGTTGTGATAGGAATTTTTATTATGATTCAAATTGAGGCATATACCAAGCAAGATAAAAGACCCTGTAGAGGGTAAGCTAGTACACATATTTCGATCCATAATCTGCCTAAAGACAATAATAATGTACTGGTTTTCCGTTCGACATTTCGATACCGAAATTTCGTTTTGGACATTATGTTTTTCGATATTTTCTCGATATTTTTTCACTGACCGAACTATAGGCTTCTACACAATGCAAAAACGCGAGGCATAAGATGTAAGCCTTTTCGGTGTATTGAAAGTTTTTGGGGCAGAATACAATGCTTATGCAATATCCTGAAATTCGGCGGTGTGAGGTGTGACATACAGGGTGTCCCCAAAACTCAACGTCTACCTTTGGAGGGCTGATAGTACAGCTCATGACTGACTAGAATATCACAATATGACCTTGGTAAAATACTCCAAAACTATCAATATTTTACAGAGGTCATATTGTGATATTCTGGTAAGTCATTGAGCTGGACTATCAGCCCTCCAAATAATGACTTTGAGTTTTGGGACACCCTGTAGATTGGCATAGGAAAATTTCCGTAAGGATAAAATTATCCACCATGAACATGACATGAGCAAAATCCCTATAATTGAATTAACCAATTTTTTCTGAAGTTCAACTGAAGATGTACAGGGTGGCCAACTAAGAATCCAGAGTTCAATACCTCTGTTGTCTTGAGAGATACAAAAAAAAGTTTTGCATTCAAATTAAAGTGATAATCGAGCTTAACATTTCAAAATTTCTTTGAAATACACAGGGTGTTCCGTAAGGTCACAGCACATCGAAGCTATGTTTTTTTCCTTGGAACACCCTATTATTATTTCATTTTTGAATTCTCCCTGAAGATCTGGTTTCAACGACGTATCATACTTAGGGTCTAGCAGTGCAAGTTACTGACATATAGGGTGTGCAAAATCGAGATTTTCCAATTTCAGGATTTTTTTCTGTCGAAACTGTTCATTATTCGTCAAAACGGTTTACATGTCCCTATCTCAACTTTTCACTCACTATCAATTGGTGTTCAATTGACATTTAATTGAAACAAATTATAAATTTAGATTTTTCGACCACCTTGTATCAATTTCAATTGAACACCAATTGATAGTGAGTGAAAAGTTGAGATAGGGACATGTAAACCGTTTTGACGAATAATGAACAGTTTCGACAGAAAAAAATCCTGAACTTGGAAAATCTCGATTTTGCACACCCTATATGTCAGTAACTTTCACTGCAAGACCCTAAGTATGATGGGTCGTTAGATTCATATCTTCAGGGAGAATTCAAAAATGAAATAAAATATAGGGTGTTCCAATGAAAGAAACATTGCTTTGGTGTGCTGTGACCTTACGGAACACCCTGTGTATTTCAAAGAAATTTTGAAATGTGATGCTCGGTTATTACTTCAATTCTGATTCTTGAATTTTTTTTGTATCTCTCAAGACAACAGAGAAATCGAACTCTGGAGTCTTAGTTGGCCACCCTGTACATACTTAAGCCTATTTAATTGTTATCAGAATGTCAGCAATCTGGTCATATTGTTTTCTGCTTCTGTTTTTATGGTTGAAAAGGAAGAACATCTTACACAATCATGCAATAAATCTGAATGAATCTTGTGTTTCCATATTTTAGGTTAGTTTTTTATGAAATCCGAGTTTATTGAATTTTTGGTGAAGTCGAAAAACCATCACCATCATCTTATTCCTCACGTTATTGTATTGTATTGTACCTGAAGCCCTATCACCATAAAATGAAAAAATAGTGCTGGGAAATTGATGAGACGCGATTTAAAGTCTCGCAGGTGCTCTGCTGAGTTTGCTCAGTAATCATGATGAAAAGAAGTATATTCACCGCTATATGGAAAAAAGTATTATCTTCTCAGAATGAATTCATACTGCTACAAACTATTAATTTGGACGTTACATTCCAAAACTGAAAACCTTATTATTTCAGGTGAAAAAACCATCTACATGTTTCAATTTGATTTAAATGAAAGATTATTCCGTTGATAACATTCACAAACTACCGATTATAAACAACTTTGAACAAATTTCACATCAATTCATCTGCACTTCTTATTAGGGAATGTAAGATGATAAAATCACCCTAAATGTTCAAATACATTATGAAATCACTTTTTGAAAATACCAAATTATTCATTCACCTATGAGTCAAGCCATGGGTTTTTGCAGATACGTGTACTGAGATAGGTAAATTGTCCCTCCTTTCGTCTATATATTCATTGGTAGGAATACATTCGCTGGCAGTAAATTGGAAAAATATATTCAGTGACATTAAGTAATGCACAAGGAAAATATACCCAAAATGAAATTCAGAAAAACATCAATAAATATTATGGCAACTAAGTGGCCATCCTCAGTAATTCAATATTTCAAACTCATGAAATTATAGTCAATGGTCATTAGAACCTATATTTTTTCCATATGCTGCATACTTTGATGCTCACTGTATATTTTTCAATTCTTCAACAAATCCTCATCAATTCAAGTAAGTACGTTATTACAGCAATAGAATAATTTCCTCAAGGTCACATTTCGTTCAAAAGAAAGTAAAATTTTCTTTTGGTCATTCAATCATTAAGGCTGAGCTCCGTTCTATTCTACGACACTGGTTTTCGTTTTCCACCTATAGTCGTGTGTCTCGATCAAGGTGGGCTCAAACCCAATAAAAACACCTAGGAGTTTTTTTGCGCACCTCAGCACTTACTCGTCACTGCTTTCGGTATGCAAGTTTCTTCAACAACTAGTTGATGACCAGCTGTCAAAGCGAGTGTTTAGTGTGCCTACATTACAGAAATGTATCAAAATTATAATGACGATCTCAACAATTGTGATGTATATTACGATTACAACTACAATACTTATCCGAATGTTTATTTTGGATACGACTATTGCGGATACGGAGGTAACATTTTATTAGTGATTTGTTTATTGTTTCTTCGCTGCTTAACCAAAACAAACAGTCACAGATATTCAGGTGTTCAGCATGAGGGCATATTATTTCTTGATGTATTAGTCCATGAATGAGGTGAACATGACTAACTTCAGTTTTTGGCTCTAGTATGTAATTTTTCAATCTACATGGGTATTTTGAAAAATGATCACTCGCACATGATAATATCAATTCTTACTGTTTGTTTTCGACCGTGTTTGAAAATGAATCTGAACATTTTCAACATTTGATTTGATTCTTGATTTATTGTTCCGAACACTTTATAGTATGGGTATGTTTGGACCAAGATGCATTGAAACCCCATGGGCATACAATATTGTTTTAGCCAAGCCAACAAGAATTAGCAGTCAATCAGTTACCGAAGTCTAATAAAGTTCGATTCGAAACAAAATATCATGTTGAAGACTTCAACCACTGATCAAGATCTATGATTAAAAAATGTGACACAAACGTTTGTGTTTATTTTGATATTTGTTGCAATTTCAACGATAAGGAGATGATATATCAGAATTTACGTACTCTCAACAATATAAACATATCTTATCAAACACCTGACTCCAAGACTATGGACGAACTAGAAGTAATTTCTCCTTAAGAATATGAACAAATACTTTGGCACTAGAAGACATGAGCGAATTGAAGCAAACTATCAATAGATTTTGAAAAAATCGGGTTTTATAGTAATTATACAGGGCGAATAAAAGTGTGGGATGAATTTCATAAAACCATTAATCCTAAATGTCTATGCAACAACAAGATCTATCTGGAGAAGCAAGTGCTAATCAGAAAATAAATGAAATAGGTGATCAACAACTCATGCTGGATTTCATACATCACATTTTGTTATCGCTTGGAGCGCACGAAAGGTATTCTTTATAATGTTCGGCAGATTCTTGGACACAAATAGAAAATCTCGGAACATGGTGTTCTTCATGATAGTATCTACATATCTCAAAAACTCAAAATTAACTATTTCGAACAGTTTTTGTCCTCATATATCATTGATGACTGTAAAAAAATATGAAAAGTGAGAGAATGGAGTACCCACCAGTTTATTGAATAGTATTTGCAGTACATTACAGACAAAAGTTGAGTTCCTCCAAAGTAACACCTCAAATATACTTTCATAAAACAGATAATGCTCAAAACTCAGAAACCCCATGGTCTTGTATCCATCGTGAAAATGCAGACAATTTTCATAACCTCTGACAATAAGCGTACTCTTGAGCTATTATGTTCCCTGCCTTCTCTGTTCATTGTTTACTCAATAAAATAATGAACGTTGGTATGATGCAGTTTGAGTTTGGATATTCTAACGGTTAACAAATCAACTGCTCACCCTATCTACCAAATTTTGAAAATCGCTCGATAAAATTTGATGAGGATTCCGAATCCTTACACATTGTCTCGGATCCAAAGGATTACTAAGCTGCTGCTTTTCCCGACAAACATCGAAAGTGGTTGCAATGTCTCACAATAATCTTACGACGTGCCATGAAAATTCCGAATCTACAAATGTTTGTCATAGATCTAACACATAACCGAATCATAAACCGCTCCTCCCGATGAGTGATCAAAAACGAAAAAGTCGCCCCCTAGTGTCGAGCAATGCATCTTGGTCGGAACACCCGAAGAATGTTGTGTGTCGTTCATTTTCAGGTTCCGGCACGAACCACCTGAACAGCTCGGCGCCAGGGGGCCCCAGCCCCGCTGGCGGGGCTGGCGATAACGTGAGCGTCTCGAACCCGTTCGACGACGTGTCGCCGAGCCCGCCCGCACCCAGGGGGGGACCCTATCCGGGCGGGCCGCACGCCCCCTATCCGGCCGCAGGCGGGCCGCCCAGGCCGCCGGGACAGAGTTACGCGGGCCAGCCCGGGTACCAGTACCCGGGCCCGGGACCCGGTTCGGCCGCGCCGCCCGATCAGTATTCGCCATACCCGAGCAGTTCAGGTAAGAACCCACAGAACTCGCCTCTCGGGTCTATTGCTCGAAACTGGCGACTCGAGACTTTAAATTTTGATATTGGCCACTATAAACTCGTCATATGGAAGTTGCGACCTATAAACTTATGACAATATTTCTTAGTTCAATATTGGCAACTTTAAACTAAATAAAAGTTTCGACCTCTAACACCGGGAAACCTTGTAACTTGCCCCTTGGGCCCAATGGTACGGGTTGCAATAATACGACGGTTATTGACTCGAAAGTGGCGACTCGAGATTTTATATTTCAATTTTGGCAACTATAAACTTGTCATATGAAAGTTGCGACCTTTCCCACCGTTACGTTTTCAGTGGAAACTTGTGACTTCTCCCTTGGTTCCAACGGTACGGGTCGCAATAATACTATGGTTATTGACTCGAAACTGACGACTCAAAGGTTCTCATTTCGAAATTGGCAACTTTGAACTTGTCGAATGAAAGTTGCGACTTCTAACACCGCGGAAACTTGTGACTTGCCCCTGGGTCCCAACTGTACGGGTCGCAATAATACTACGGTTATTAACTCGGAACTGATGACTCAACGTTTCTTATTTCGATATTGGCAACTATAAACTTGTCATATGAAAGATGCGACCTCTACCACCGTTACGTTTCGAGTTGAAATGTGTGGAAAAGCTGTAAAAAAGGTTACAGACGATAGAAGTGTTATTCTGATACAGCCTGTGAAATAAAACGGGGTCAACTTGTACCATAAAACATGTGACACAATAAATACCACTCACTAGGTCTTGAATCGAAATTCTTGAAATTGACTGCTGGCTACTTATATCCTGAGAGTTATTCAATACTTGAGACTTATGATTAGATATTGGTGATTTGCCTATTTATTTTGCAATTTTTCATCAATCGTCGGAACTAATGAATTCTCATTTATCCGATGGATGATTGCGAGAGAGATGCTGTATGAAATTGATTCTAATAGGACATCACAAGAGGTTCAATTGAATAAGGTTTCCTCATCTTGATCTCTGAATTTTCTCATAAAAAAGCTGTTGAAAATAGAGTGGAGCTCAGTGTTATTTTTATTCACATAATTTATGACCGAAAAAGTATTCACAGGAATTTATTCGCTATACGTTATGTTATCAATTCAACAATAGATACTTATTGTCCATTATCAGTGATTCCAAACAATTATTTATCCATAATAGTTTGATTTCACAGAATATAAACATTGGACGTTATCAACTTGTTGATGATCTGCTTGAATGTTATGCAAATACCAACTCATTACAGGTGCATTCCTGGGCAATCTAAGGAATATCCCTCACAAACGGACCCATCCTCAATGGAACCTTACATTATGGAATCATATTTACAGGTTATCCTCCAGCCGTCAGACCAGTGTACCCTCCATACTCGGGCGACTCCTCTGCCCCGCCGGCGAGTCCCAACAACTCGCAGGGGCCCCCAGCGGCCGGGGCGCAGGACCCCTACAGATACAACGCCAATCCGGGCTCCAGCTACAGCCCCAGGCCCGCGTACGGGCAAGCCCCGAGCAACAGCGGGCCGCCAGCGTCTCAACCGGCCGGTCCTGGGAATTATCCCCCGCATCCCGATTACTATCGTCCAGATCAGGGGCAGGTGAGTGGATTCGAGTAGATGATAGGACGTTTTCGTCTTGTTCTTTCCTTTCCTCCCTTGTTTTACTGACTTTTCCTGAACACGGCTGCAAAAAGCATTTGACATACGATCAAATATTTAGTTCGTTTATATCCATGGCAACGTATCTCTTAGCTGATAAGTTAGGGGAGTTGATTCTTTGTTAACTCAACAGAGACTTGCAATCGGGTTTAAGACGTAACTGAGTGACATTTAGAGCAATCGGGATTGGAATACAAGAAACTCCTGAAATCATCTAATCCTGTTATCCTGGTGTGTAGGCATGCATACTGTTTTTTCATCAATTTGCTGCTTTCATGAACTGGGTGATGCCTCACTCACTAACTCTTTGACCCCATTACAACACCGTAAAAAAGTTTGGCGACCTTTCACTTGGGTAACTACCAAAACTCGTTCGTCTATGGAACGGCAAAGCTTCCGAATTGGAATATTCACAAGCTTTTTCCAGGCATTCTATCGCCTCCTCATACAATATTGAAAAACTTTTCTAAATCAGTACTATCATTGGAGGTATTTTCAGCCAAATATAGTTCTATTTTTCTCTAAGTCAATTTCATTAACTCAAGTTTACTGTGTTCAAACGTTTCCAAATTTTCGCTAGTAGTTCCTGAGTATTCCCAGATCCTACCCTGTCCTGATGAAATCAACAAAATACCCTGTTTCCCACGGTAAGCCTCCTGTATTCTCACATTTCCTCAAGAACAAATACAATATTTCAGTAGTTGAGTTGTTATCAAGTAAAACCATGGTTGAAATATATATTTTCTGTAGCAGGGCACAGGTAGTGGAACAGGCTATCAGGGAGGACCCAACGCAAACAAGAACATGCCTCCCCCAGGTCCTCAACCACCGAGGAGGCATCCAGACTTTGCCAAAGACCAGCAATACCCGTACAACCAACCACGTGCACCCATGTACGGTAAGTAGACCCTACGCAAACCCCTTATTTTTTCTGGAACTAAATAGGTATCCGTTATTCCGTAGGTGGTTGGCCAAACAACAACCAGTACCGACCCCCTCAGTACGGAGGCACGCCCGGAGCTCCTCAGGTCACGCCCCAGCAGTGGAATCAGAGCGGAAGGCCCGCCGGCCCTTGGCCTGCTAATCAAGGCTATCAGCAACCACCGGCAGGGCAACCGCCTTGGCCGGGAATCGCCCAACCGGCTGCCCAGAACGCGAACATGAGACCGGTGCACAGACCGGGCAAACCGTTCCCCAACATGATGCCTCCGGGCGGGGCGAAAGGCAACCAGGCGCAGCCTACCTCGGGCAGCTCGTACAGCCACAGCCAGATGACCAAGAGAGAGATCACGTTCCCTCCCGATAGCGTGGAGGCGACAGTGCCTGTGCTGTATCGGAGGAAGAGGCTGTGCAAGGCCGATGTGGGGCAGGTGGATGCTTGGCGTATCATCATGTGTTTGCGCTCGGGGCTATTGTCCGAGAGTACTTACGCCCTCGACATGCTCAACGTGCTGCTTTTCGACGATTCGTCGGTCGGATATTTCGGGTTGAGCCAGTGGCCGGGTCTCATGGACCTGCTGATCGAGCATTTCAAGCGCAGCCTTTCGGATATGTTCGACGGGCCGTACCCGCGAGAAGAACCGACGGATGGTCACGAAATCGATCTGGGTGGGGTGGTGACGCCAGTCGATCCCGATCTGAAAACGGTCGTGCTCAACAACACTCCCAACTACTCGATGGTATCCAGGAAGGGGCACCCGGTGAAGCTTATAGACAAACCGGAGGACATTTTCATACAAGACAACGTGAAAGCTTGGGACACGAAAGGCGATCCTAATATCAGGAACACGCTGGCGGAGATAGCTACAGATCCGTGGCACACGAACGCCGAATATATCCTACCCTCTTTCCAAGCCGAGTTCCAGAGTATACCCTTCCACATGCGATTGAAGGAGGAGATCAAAAGCGAGGTGAAGGAGGAGGTGAAGGAGGAGGCGATAGAGAAGAAGGAGGCAGCAGCGAATGAAAAAGAGGAAGAAGAGATGGAGGTAGAGCCTAAAGTCAAGTCTCCTCCCCCGGACGAGGGACCACCTGCTAAGCCGTGTGACAAAAGACGTAGGTCCAAGACATTAAGTGATGTGATATCTCGAATTAAGAAGGATTCAGAGGCGAACGAGCTCACCGCGGCCGCGACGGAAGACGACGTAAAGACTGAGGTAGTGAGTGAGAAAGCGGACTTTGAGGAGGCGAGTTTAGATCTGAAAATTAGTGTGAACGGCGAGTGCGCCGACAGAACGGAGACTGTAAAGGATCCCTCGGGGTCCTTGAAGAGACGGAGGATCTCCGATTACGAGGACGAGGCTTATACTAGAGACGAGGCCAGCTTGGTGCTGCTCACTGAGAGCCAGGATAACATAGGCAAACGGTGCGTGTGCTTGTCGAACATTCTTAGAAGCCTTACGTTCATTCCTGGGAATGAGATCGAGTTTTCTAGAAGCGCCACGTTCTTGGCGCTGATTGGGAAGCTGTTGCTGCTCCATCACGAACATCCGCCTCGTACACAGAAGACGAGGAATTACGACCGGGAGGTGAGTACGAATTATTCAGTCAACACCATAATGCATTCACCGGCCAGCAAAAAATTCGGCACGATTGATCGCCCTATAACTTTCCCAATTCTTGTCCAATTGATATCCCTTAATTCCACCCCATTTTTTCAGCACTCACCAGTAAAGAGAAACCTCAATTACTGAATACAAACAAAAATCAGACCACATAGATGTAGTAAATAAGGAGTATGCCCTAGTCAATCTTGAATTACAGCATTTAACCAAGTTGATCAAATTGTATAAGATGTCTTGAGAATTGGCCTCAAATTCTTCCTCAAAGATACTTTATAGGTTCTGAATTATCTCATATATTCTCCTGTCCTTGTCATGGTGTTAGGGACCAAACTCCTCCGAAACGGCTCGACCAATTATTATCTCATATATTCTCCTGTCCTTGTCATGGTGTTAGGGGCCAAACTCCTCCGAAACGGCTCGACCGGTATGAGAATCGGTCATAAGCTATATTTAAATTGAAAATCCAAGATGGCGGATCCAATATGGGGGACAAGAATTGAAAAAATTAGACGGCGATCGACTTGGCAAAATTTGTTGCTGACCAGTTTCTTTTGCTGGTCATTGTATTGTACAGGAAATAATTATTCAATATGGAAATGTATTTGAACAAGAAGTACTTGGTTAGCAGAACTAGATGGTTCAGCTCTATTATAAGAAAAGAAATATGATCTCAGAGGATATTATCGGAAACAAAACTACTAACCTGTAAAACTTTGTAACTACCTACTCATGATATTCAAGTTTTTATAACCTGTTTCCACTTTTTATGATAGAGCCGAGACATCGAGTTTTGCTCACCCTATACCTTGACGTTATTTCCAGGAGGACGCGGACTTTGCGGACTCGTGCAGCAGCCTGCAAGGGGAGAGCGAATGGTGGTGGGAGTTCCTCGTCCAGATACGCGAGAACATCCTCGTCTCGCTGTCGAACATAGCCGGGCAAGTGGACGTGTCGCTATTCGGCGAAGAGGTGGCCAGGCCGATGCTGGACGGGCTTCTCCACTGGGCCATCTGCCCGTCGGCCGCCGGCCAGGACCCCTTCGCCTCGGTGGGCCCCACGTCGTTGCTCTCGCCCCAAAGGCTGGCCCTCGAGGCGCTGTGCAAGTTGTGCGTGACCAACAGCAACGTCGACCTGGTGATAGCCACGCCGCCGTTCTCCCGACTGGAGAGGCTTTGCGCGGTGCTCACCAAGCACCTATGTCGGTCCGAGGACCAGGTGCTCAGAGAGTTCTCGATCAACCTCCTACACTACCTGGCGGCGGCAGACAGCAGCATGGCGCGCGTGGTGGCTGCGCAGACTCCGTGCGTGTCGCTACTGGTCGCCTTCATCGAGCAAGCGGAACAAAGTGCGATGGGCGTGGCCAACCAGCACGGCATCGGTGCGCTGCGGGAGAACCCCGACTCGATGGGGACCAGCTTGGACATGCTGAGGAGGGCCGCCGCGACTCTGGTGTTTCTGGCCAGGCATCCGGAGAACAGGGCTCTGTTGGTGCAGCAGGAGGCCAGGTTGCTGGCGCTGGTGATGAGCCAGATTCTGGATCAGCAGGTGGCGCTGCTGCTGTCGAAAGTGTTGTTCCAGATATCGCGCAGCTAATCCGCAGTGGTCAGGTTGAAACGATGCGGCCTTGCTGGTGTATAGAAAGACAGACCCGAACCGTGTGTAGCGCGATTCCCCCTGACTTTTACCACAATGACAGTGTATGTGTGTGTGCGCGTGCTTGTGTGGATGAGAGTGATGTGATGAGATTCAATATCGAGACTAGGTGAGGAGGAGAGATAGAGAGAGAGAGATATCCGGATCTCTGCTAGCTAAACAATTCACATAGTGTAATCCATACATAATTGTACCATTTTGTAAATTAAGCGACATACGTCTTTCTGGAAAATGTTAAACATACATCCATGTTACTTATGTTATTTATTATTTGATATACATACAAGTATAAACGTAGATTCCAACTACTCTGGAATAGCCTGATTGGTGCAAAAAATGCGGGTGCAGGTGGTGTCATCTCCCTTTTAGTTTCCTGCACACTCACTTTTCTTATTTCATGTTTGGTATTACTGTGCTAATGCTTTATACATGTCTGATAATGAATTTAATTAAATAAATGTACAAAGGAAGTACCGAAAAATGGTGTTTTTATACAAGTTTTAATTTTCTATGTATATTTAGAAATGTTTTATACATCCCATTTTAGCTGTTACATTGAACTCTGTTAAAGAACAAGTATGGACTGTAAACATTAGAAGAGGCAGTCTTGATCTAGAACTCAAATGTAGTTTAAAATATGTGGTGATATTTTTCTGGCTGTAGGTATAATTCATCTTATGTATGATTGCATATTGTAAAATAAGTAAATGCTAAATACATTAAAACCTATTTTTTAATTCATGACAAGAAACCCTAAATGCAATCACTACTTCTTCATTCCTGTTTCTACTTTCACTTGAGAGGTAACATCAGTGGGTGATTTTGAAGTAGGTACTTGGACTTGCAAATGTGAATTACCAAACTGAATAACTTTGCTTGCCATTTGTATATTCCAGTTTCTATCGTGATTCAAAAACCTGATGAATATTTTACCTTTTGTAGAACAAACTATTTTATATAATAAAGCGTTGAATTACAGTATTCACCAGATGATTATGATATTGCTGTAAGTAGTAGGGATTATGAGAGAAGAGCCTGAGGGAAATAGAGACATCCATAACAGAAGGCTAGCACTTCAAAATATAATCTCCATTAGTTTCCCCAGTAGGATTCTCGTCACAGGATGTTTCATGGACGTATATATACGTTGTTTATACGTCCGTGGGATGTTCTCTACCAGTGGATGTTGGGGAAAATGTGATGTCACTGATGGCAGAAGGTGACACAATACAGGTAAACTGATTTGGACCAGAAAATGCTAACACAACAGCAAGACTTATTGTGGGTCCTCAGAAGATAATTTTTATGTATACAGGATCTATATGTTTCAGTTCGGAACTCACTACATTACAAGGTCTATTTATTTGTCAAAAAATTTTACACAGTCCCTTGAGAATGAATGGAAAAAGTCGCCTACATTAATATAGGAACAAATGATAAATTCGTCTTTGTTGTACAGTCGTCTTCAGAGATCATGTCGCACATGGACGGTGTCAGCTCCCTTGATCACCGCTGCAATAAAAGCGCTCAGTCCGTCCAATCGCGACATGTTCGTTGAAGACGACTGTACATACTTGCCTATAATCAAGACCTCTATTTATGATTATCACTCAGAAGAATGAAACATTTTCCTGCATAAATTTGTTTAGGCGTGCATAATATGAAATGACATTCATCGCAGATACTGCCTGGATGGTTTGAATCAATATTCTGTTGAGAAAATAGAAGTTTTTAGCTGGATGGGGGAATATAGGACAGATTAAAAGTGAAACACTTCTAACAACTGATTATTCTTTCTAGTAGACAACTTATGCTAATACGCTTGAGTAAAAAAGGAAAATTACGGAAAATGTTAAAAATGGTGATATCACCCAAAATAATTATGTGCGTTACGCCTATGGCAAAAAAACTCCCTTTTGTCTGTGCTTTTGTTTGTGCTCTTTTAATATCTGATTTCATTCAATCTAGCTAGCAACGATCTTGGTTAGCATGACGTCACTCGCATCTAACCGTTGGGTAACGGTTATTAGGATTCCTCAAACTTTAAAGCATATTACTATGAAAAATCATTTCTATGTGACAATGGGCAAATAACTTTCCTTCAATTTTTCACTACTTTCTGCTAAAAGTGCTAAAATGAAGAATGTTTTCGATCTGCGATTTTTGTTTGCACAAACACGAAAATAATAATGTTCCGTGATGGTTCTGTGATGGAGCTGTCAACTGTCAACTTCAAGACCCTCCCACTACTGCATGGTGGTTATAACATGGCCGCCGTTTTGTTGTAAACATAAGTTCTGATTTCGGCAAATACAGATAAATAAGTGAATAAATTTGAGTTCTAGTCGTGTAAATAAGTTTCGTTATGTGGTTGAAATATAGACATTAGTACAAATCGCATGGTTTACCATACAGATGTCAGCTGTTACACATTCTGTGCCAGGTTAGTGCCACTATTCTGGGTAGTTTTTTGAAAAGGTTTGTGTTTTTGTTCATTTCTTTTCATAATGTACATATTCTATTCACACAGGGTAATGGGATAATAATACCAAAACCAGATTGTATACTTTATTTGGCAGTACATTTGAAAATAGATATATTTTTGTTGAAGAAGTCCTACAAGGATTATATTCTAGAATGAGACTGATTTTCAATTAGTAGTATTATTGTGCTAGGTAGGTAGAGTCACAGATTAACAAGTAGAGTCATGTATCATGAGATCAGAGGTATTTATTGAGATATACTTCCATTCATTCTCAAGATGTTAATAATTTGAATTGCTTGTACTTCTGGTTTTTTTTCTTCTAGGTGCAGATCCCACTAAGGGCATCCAGAAGCGTAGAGCAGTTAATATAGGGTGAGTTTATTATTCTTCTTCCCAAGTCCCAAGTTTTTCCATTCATTATGTTGAAATTAATTATATCCTGTTTCATAGATGTTGGCAACCAATAAATCACTGAGTGACTTTATGTCCCATAGGCTGTAGTTTCCAAGTTATCTTACAGGTGTCGCCACAAGTATAGGATGTTCACTGAAAAATGAATTTGATTAAAATGTGTTTTTGCCCCATTCCTGTTCATGGAAATGGGAGACAGTTTGGCGCGTTTTTAGATTCAATTATGATAAGAACATTATTTTCGCTTATCAGACCATAAATAAGAGGTAATGGACACTTTCTATATTAAAATTGCTAATATGCCCTAAATATGGGTATTCCAACCAAACACTGATGTTTACTGAATGGTTATTATTAAAAATCAATATTCTTACACTCAGAGACACAAGAAACACATAGTTGAAATACACCTTTTTAAAATACATATTTCTGGATTAATGGATGAAATTAAAGTATCATCCTTATGCATTGTTCAGAAGATTCCTAGTTTTTCACAGGGTGATTAATAATTATTGGCGCTTCAGCCTGATATCTGGGAAATTAAATAAAGTTGAGAAAACAATATCATGGATATCTTTGAGTCTACCACTCTACCTAGATACTTCAAGTCTCATTTTATATGTCTTATTTTATAAAACCAAATTTATCAATTGATGATTAGTTTATTTCTTCTATGAAATTTGATTTAGTCAATCCAAAAGCATAATGTTTGTATTCAGAGGTAGGTGATTGATTCTCTTGCATTGTATTCTTGAACTACAATTTGTATTACCAGGTGGCGCTATCTTATATTTTTATTGTAAAAAAAAAAATCTTCTCTTTTTTCGCAACACGATTCAGTTTTTTTTTTGTAAAACAAAGAACTAGTTGTGCAAAAATTGCATGAATCCACGTTTAGTTGTGGTAACGGTTCTTTATATTCTCGGAAAAAATCGAACCACAAAAAATATGACGAAACCATATTCTATCAGTAAGTATGGTAATCTGGATGTGATATATTTGAATTTGATTAATGAAGTTTCAAATGGCACGAATATGAGGGCAAATCCCGTTCATTTATCCATGATTTCGCGAGTATATAAACTTAGCGTCATTTATAAAGCTTAAGTTTATCCCGCGATTTTCGGCTGCGGAGAGGGATTTTCTAAAATCCCTCAACGGTAAGCTCGGCAACATTTTCACTCTTCATGAATAACGTAAATGCTTTCAGGACGAAGGTAGATATTTGCCGAGATATTTACCCAAAACTAGGCAATGCATTTGTACAGAAATGAATATTCAGATTTGAATGAATGATAACTCTGGCTATGTGGAGGTTTATTTCTACCGAAATTTCTATACAAAACAACAGGATCTTCTATACGGATTTGAGTCTTCTGTGGGGGTTATTTTAGGTTTGTACAGAAAATCCTTCATTCAAATTAATAGAACCAAAATGCGCCGCAGGCGAGATCGGTCTTGATTAACATTTATTAGGTGATTGATTTATTTATCGAAGTTGCAAGAAAAACTACAAATGTTGTCCTCACATAGTCCAGTGGGCAAAGTGGTTACCTCGGTATATACGTTGATATTTTCCAAAAGTTCTCATAATTTATTTTTGTTATAAACACTCGAAAATTTACAACCTCAATTTTCTTCAACTTTCTCCTACTGAGGTAACTACCCTCATAATCCTCCTTTGTAAACGTACGTGCACAATCAAATGAAGAAAAAATGTAGAATATGTTTTTTATAACTGCCAATAAGCTTCATAAAAAGTGCTTCATTTGACATTCTCGGAAAACATTGTGGGAAATAACTACACATTTTCTTTATTTGAGAGAAGTAGTTAGGTGAAATCAACTAAACTATCTACTTTTAGAGTATCAATCACTGCAGAATGAATTCCGTTTTTTTCTCAAATACCATATTTTGTTTCAAATATCTATACAACTATACAAGATAAATATTTCGAATCACGAAAATTTCCTCTGGATTTTCATATTCTACTGCACATTACTTGACTCGCATCGGGGCTCTAAAGGGGTTCAAAAAACAAATTTTCCAAACTCCTTTTCCATATATCCCAATCAAGTAGTAATGCTATCAAAAATTTCATAAAATTGAAAACATCGCTAATACCTAACGGACTAACCTCTTCTTATTCTGTCGATTTTGCTTCTATTTATCCCATAGATTCCTTCTACCTCGATCCGAATTGGAAAATTTTGGTAAAATTTGTGATGTAACTATAGTGTTGAAATAAAAGAACACTTCATTTAACACAACTTGCTTTCGACTTGGGTCCGTCATGATTACACTCTTACAACGTCTCGAAACAAAATAAGGAGTATAGAGAGAGACCTTTGCTGAATATGGTCAGTCGAATGCCTACCTCTCTACTGAAGTGTGTCCCCACTCCCAGTATAAGCCTGGCTCAATATTGGTCACTTCGAACCGAAATATTCACTGAAATCCTGTGTTTTCATTTCCTACAGCTAAGATGAAAAATAATAAAAAGTTGAGTACAATTTTACGTGAATTCCTGATGAAGTATGGATATTATTTAATCAATTCATCTAGGTTCACAGTTTGATTCACCATGCATCCGCAGTAATTTACGAATAATGGATCAAAATTGAATATTGAGGTGGATACAAAAACTAACCACAAGTAGTTAGGTGGCACAGATTTATTTCAATTCTGTAATTCAATGTAGACCCATTATTCCATAGCTGAGATATTGTGAAATAAGCTGTTAATTTTTATTAAAATCCTGATTGTTACGGATGGAATGAGGGGAAAAATCACCATAAGGTCTCTAGGAATAATAGTCAGCAATTTGGGCTTTTCGACCGACATGGTGTATAGTGAAACAATAATAATCCCAATTATGGGCAATCAAAAATTCAGTTCAAAACCCCTACTTGGCTTATGAAAAATAATATATGGTCATTTGGTTGATAAAATAATTGGTCCAATTACTGAACTGGTTTTTCGGAAATTCATAAAAATCAAGTATGGGTTCTGGTAAGTGGGCCTTTCGGGAATTCAGCTAGGTTCATATTATTTATGATATGATATATGCAGTGCCATTCATAAAGTTTGTTGGTAGCATTTTTTTATTGCATTTTGAAAACAAAAAACTTGATGGTCAGTTCTTGAACTAACATTTTTGTTCAAATTTTGATTCTGCTAAAACAAATGTATCATTTTCGAAACGAAAGTGATTTATCCTAAATTTCAATTGGAAATATTCATTGAGAATAATCATTGAACGTAATGATTCTTCCAGATATTGAAAAAAAAACATTTTTTTTATACTTACACGGAAAAAAAGGATTGGTTGCATCAACCAATTATTTATGCTTTAAGCATATATGACATTTTTATTTGCTTCATTCAATTAAATTTTGCATGATTCAACAATTCCTATTTTTCCGTGTACCAAAAAGCATGTTTTTCCATTTTCAAATTTCTTCACTGTGACCCATAAGATTCCGAATTCAATCTTTCAAAATTCTATTGAGGTGCGTCACATGCGGGCGAGGGGGAGGGGAGCAAGGGATAAAACATCCCTTTACTCTTTATACAGGGTGTCCCAGAATAACGTTCGTATACTCTTGGAGGTGATTCTGCAGATGAAAAAAAAACACGTTTCTATCAACATGTGTCCAAAAATGATTCCTAAGGGCGCTATAGAGCCCTTGGAAGGTAGGTCCTTAAATTAAGTGTTCTCTCCAATTATATTTGTTATCATTGATCCTGGAAGCACGAAATTTGCCTAACCTGTGGGTGATTTGATCTCGGAAATTGTTTCGTGGTACGAATAACATGATTTGATATACAGGGAGGTGCGAAACTCGTAGCCGATGCTATAAAAATGCCCTAAAAGTTTTTTGTTTCAAGATTTATCTCAATTCTACTTCCAAAAAATGATTCTTCAAACAATCCTACATGAAAATGGTATTTCTGTTCGAATGCCGTAAAATGAACCGTTTTCAAGGAAATGGGTAATTTTTCATTATGATGTCCAAAAAAATTCACAATGATTTTGAACGTGTGTTCTCAAAATAAAAAAATTAGAACTTGACAATTATAATTTGAATTTCCTGTTACTGTTGTTTTATTAAAGTTTATTATGATGTTGATTTGTTGAGTGAATAAATTTCTGAATCAATTTTCTTTGCTGATATTTTCTCAACAAATCAACATCACGATTAACTCTAATAAAACAAAAGTAACTGGAGATGTGAAATTATAATCATCAAGTTCTAATTTTTTTATTCCAAGACTACACGCTCAAAATCATTGTGAATTTTTTTGGAGTTTAAAATTAAAATCAACCCTCTTTCCCGAAAACGGTTCGTTTTACTGCATTCCAACAAGAATAGCATTTTCATGTAGCATCAGTGTTCAAAGAATCATATTTTGGAAGTACAATTGGAATAATACCTCCCTGTTTATTGAATCATGCTTTTCGTACCACGAAACGATTTCTTAGATCAAATCACCCTCAGATACCGAATTTAGAGCTTTTAGGATCAATGATAACGAAGATAATTGAAGAAAACTGCATTTATGGACCTCTAACGCTCAATCGCCCTTAGGAATCATTTTCGCACACATGTTGATGGGAACATTTTTTATCATTTTCATCTGCAGAATTACCTCTAGAAGAAAACGAACTTTATTCTGGGACACCCTGTATATAGGTTATTGTGATTTTGTTGGTAAATTAAACAATTCTAGAGTTTTTTACGTAAAAAAGGTACTCCTAGTTCAATTCGATAGAGCGTACCATTTACGAGAAAATCGACTTTGAAAACTTTGAATTTAGAATCTCATTTATTATCAAATGTTTATACCGTACACGAATTTTCAAAATTTCATTGTAAAGGGCTTTAAAGTTTTAAAGAAGAATCGTCTTTCAAAGGGAAGAAAGCATTTTAGGATCCATAATGATATGAATATTTTTA